AAGGGTGAGTTCAAGTTAGAATTTGCCTAGCAAGGATTATACTGAGTGGTTAATTATGAAATGTTACGCGCTCTTTTGGTGTCTAGTAAAGGGTTAATATGCGTTATTAACTATCTTTGGACTCTGTACAGAAATAATATATGTAGGTGAACTTTAACCATTCAGCCACCAGAGGCAGCGGCTCAGTGCCAACCTGTCCTGACCTTAGTCACTCAGTGTTAAAAATTGCACCCCTTGCACTTTTATTTGCTTCCTGAAATAATAGAGTTTTAGTTTTTTGGACATTGTTATGCCATTTTTGGAAAAAAATCCTCATTCATGTTGTGATTGTTAGATTACAAGGATGTTTTTATTCGCCATTGTTGTAGAATGCCTAGCCACTTTTGTAGGTTAGTTTTAACAGACAGTAATTAGAAAGACAAAGATGTCTTCATGTTTCTCTACACAGACGAGGATAAGGTTAGATTTATTCATCTTGTATTAACACTAATTTTTGGTTGGCGTGATCATTGTTGTGAACCGAAGCCAAGTTCTCCCTACAGCCTGATCTCCGTTCTGTGACATCACCCCCGCATTACAGGGGTATGCCACTGAGCGAGGGTTTAGCACAGCACATTCAACGTGTAATAATGATATGCATTATTCCATATGCTCCTATTTACAGCAAGATTAATACATCTAACCTTACCCTTGTCTGTGTAGAGAAACATGATTAAACCATTGTATTTTGGTAGGAGTTTTAAGTCAAGCATGACATACAGTGTTTAGCATTACAAACTCAGTAGTGCTGTGATCTGCAGGTGTCCTTATCCAGTTTGTAGTATGAGGGGTGTAGTCCACATAAACAATGATCCCAGCAATTGCATTTAGGTGACCAAATTACTCACTACCAGCCCTTGAGAGCTCCTAGGCATTCAGATCAGTGATATGAGTGCTCATATGTTTGTTTGTTTTTTAATATACCCGCATGGTACTCAGTTACAAAGTAATATAGGCCGAAAAAAGACTTGAGTATAGCTTTTCACATATCCATACTACTGCTGCTGATCCAAAAGAAGGCAAAAAAGCCCCAGCTTGAAGCCATTGCCAATATTTCCACAAATTATGGGGGTGGGGGGGTAGGGGAGTGGCAGTCGGATTTCTGATTGGGTGAACAAACTGCAATCCCTCGTATTAACCATTATATCCTTAAATATTTAATTTGAAGGGAATAAAAGCATCCATAAAAATCTGTACAAAATCTAATTAAACAACATCTTTAGGCAGAGAATCCCAGCTTTATTGTTCTAACAGTAATTAACATTTTCCTTTGCCATAGGTGAAATCTCCTTTCTTGTAGTCTAAATGGAATTCAAGAGAGCTGTTTGTACAGACCCGGTATATATTTTTACCACAGCTTAAAATGTAGAAAATACTTTGGTGAGTGATAGTTCACCCAATAGACTCTCCAGGCTTGTAGTGGCTAGTAACTTTTAAGACTTGACTGGTAGTATAGGACTTAACATTTTAAGCCTAATTATTACATTGTTATCTTATCCCCTATGAGATAAAAAAATTTCCCCTAACGTAAACAAGTTTTTTCTTTGCCTTTTATTGATAACTAAAATTTTCTATTTCCCTAGTTAATTTTGCAGCTTGCCTCTGCACTCTTCAATGTTTAAGAATGTTCACCTCACATCCAACGCATTTTACTTTTAGTACTACAAGTACTATTTATGAGTACAGTACTACTATAGAACTATCTTTGATGCAGAAAATAAATCAAGCATAAATAAAAAATAAAGGGTTCTGGACTTAAATTAGCATAGAAAACATAGATGACAGAAAAGCCCTGAGCCCTGTTTACTCCATAACCTTGGTGTGAACTACAAGACATTACGGTGCTTGGTGTGTACCTTTAATATGTATTGTGCCATTCATTGGGAACCTGTAGCTTTCACCAGCAATTTTGACACCAAGCAATTTCTATTGCTTTTCTGAAGCATCCGTGTCTTTCAGCTGTGCTTGATTGCCCATGCATGTCCAGTGCCAATACGCAAAGGAGAGCAAATCCTGTTACAAGGTTAGCTGTTCCTTTATATTTCCATATATTCTACTGCTGAGAGCCTGATGCTGTTGATCAACTGCTTGTCACATCGTGACCTCTGACCTTGAATAACACAATAAGGCAGGTCTGAGCTGAAAATGATGAATCTTTCATAGTATTTAATATGCTTTGTAACATTGTAATATCACAATACAGAAGCTCTGGGGAAATCAGAGCCTTTGGTGCAATAACGAACTGTCAATTCTATCCACTCCGAATGCAACATAGACAGAATAATTTGCTTTATTGAATCAAATTATGTTTTTAGGTAATTAGTGCACTTTTCAGCAAAAAGATTTTGCACTCCACCTATTTGCTGGTGCCAGTGGTTAGATTGTATCCTCAGTGCCGACAGGGAAGGAAAACCTCAACATTGCCCTTTTAAATTACAAGCAAAATAAAAATATCATTTTATATTTTAATATCTGGCTTTGTTTTTCCATTTTTAAGCTTAAACGGAAGTAAGGCGTAAATAGATTGCCCGTTACAACAATAACATCTTCGTATCGCTGTATTTAGAAAAAGTTGGCTTAGTCTGTTGTACTGATGGGAAAAAATGCGCATACCCTTTTCAATCAGTAGGTGAGAATGTATAGAAAATATATGTTCTCCATATTGGTTGGTAAATCCAGAATGAAAAGTCGTGAGCAATGCCCAGGATTTTGAGAGCTCCAATCAAGAACATAAGAGCCTACAGAGGAATATGTATCCATTAGGGTACAGTATATACCAGGGGTAAGCAACCTTCGCACTCCAGATGTTGTGAACTACATCTCACCTGGTGCTTTGCCAGCATGATAACTGTACGGGCATTATGGGAGATGTAGTCCACAGCGTGTGGACTGCCGAAGTTTGACTTCCTAAATCCAGCTTTGTCAAGCAGTGCTTGTGTAATCCTCATCATCTGGCCTTGGAACTGAGCATCCATAGAAATAAGAAAATCCCTTTTAAATGCAAAAGGAAGTACTCTTGCATGTCCTTTATAAGGCTTGCTAACAATGACATTTTTAAATCTGATTGCCTGGAACTTGGCCTTAAGAATCAGCGAGTCAAATGAGATAAAAGATGTAGATGACATTTTATTTAAACATTTGTTTTACAATGTCATATACATATAAATGTTACATTGTATTTTTGAAGGCGATTTTTACCACCCGCATTTTTATTATTGACTGGCCCATTTAAAGGGATTTATCCAGGGTACTTTATTTCCTCCTTTTTGTAGGAGTCATTACAATATCAAATATTTATCAATCGGTACAATGCGCTGCGCAATATTTTAGCACTACACAAATTCTAATTATATTTTTTGTATTAAATAGCACGTGTGAGACATAAAACAAGATCATATTTTAAACCAAAAAATTGCATTTGTCTGCAAATATATTAAAAGTCTGGGCAAGGCTTAAAGGGATATAACTAACACCCTTTTGAGAGGGGTAACCTTTCTGATGTAATATGCCCTATTGGACACTATGGAGAGCCACCCCCTACCCTATTTCCCCTCTCAATTTTCAGTAAAACCTGCAAAAATCCAGTGCTGATCTTCCACGCCCTCACCGATGTCACTGGGGTCGTGCGCTGTCCAATCACAGAATTCTCATAGAGAAGCCTGTGATTGGACCATTTTGCTGGCTCAGACTGCATGCGCGCGCTCTGTTTTTTAACAACGACAGCAGAACGCCTGAAAGGGGAAGATTTTCACATCTACAACACACATTTGATGCACAGAATTTACAATGGCAGCCCCCACCCCAGCACACAATTACAAATATCTCAGTATGTGCAGATAAGGTTTGATTTTGCGTCACCTTTTAAGTTTGGCTTTTGTGCGTGACATGCTGCATTGCAAGAGTTGTGTCACAAGTAAAGAAAAACAGTGGTTTCTAGGACATTTATAGCTGACCTGGTTCTGGCCAACACTTCCTTTTGGGAGTGAGAATTTGCCAGGTAGATGAAATTCTATTTAATCTTTTTGGAGTTTTTGGAGTCACATGAATCTATGCTTTTTTCTGTTACGGCTTGTCTATGTTTTTTGCTGTCATGGAGCGTCATGTTTAGGAAATATGGGTAATTTGGGGGTTGTTAAAGACCGTTCTTCATATTCCTCTGTCTCATATCTAACAGTTCCCTGATTGTTTGATTGTATCATGTTGGGTGGAGTGAGAGGGAAGAGAAAGGATAGCATTACTGCATCGTCCCTGTTTTAAATCATGTATATATAAAAACGTCTCTTTTTTTTTTTTCTTGGTTCATTATAGTTGCCCTTTGTAATGGGATCTCTGAAAAAGCAGATGTCTTTGATATTTCTGCCACACCTTTTTAATACGGGTATTATTACAGCATTTAGATGTTTCTGAATGTCGCTAATTGTATCTTGTATTCCGTGGCTGTATATGTAAATGCCTGTCTGTCTCTGGAGGTCTCTGGGTATTGTAGCTGTCTCTAACGTACACTGGCAGCTCTGCATATACTGTCGGAATTCCTTTGTTCCTCGGTCTGAACGCTTAATGTAAGCTTGTATCATATAAAGTGCATGTGGTTTTCAGATGGTCTGGTTATTGCCACGCGTGTAACAGATGCACATGTATACATATACCCCCACAGTCTATGTGTATCTAAAATAACATGTACCAAGACACGTCTACAAAGACCTAAACAAACACGAGTAAACATGCACACAAACTGAAGTTTCTTGTACACAAGCACATATTTTTTAATACATGGGCAGGCGTTTGTAGAACGTGGCTATTTATATGTGCCATGTACATACGGTGTTACGTAGTTTCGTAGTAATCTAGGTTAAAAAAAAAAAAAGACTCACGTCCATCAAGTTCAACCTGTTCACACCCAAATGTGGTTCCAAGCGCTTTTCGTACACAACCTTTCTTTGTGGAACTACTGTCTGTGGAGAGGACAAGAGCAGTGCCAGGGAGTGTGAGCAGAGAAGGTGACTCGTGTGTGTGAGTCTTGGCAACAGGAAAAACGACAGTAATGTCAAATGCCACTCTGACTATTGAGTGGCCCCTTGGCTTTTTTTTTGGAATACTGAGGCAGCACTTTCTATGGCAGACATTTTCTTAAAGAGGAGCCGTCACTGGTCTGAAATTTACATCATCGAGTAAGACGCTGAAATTCACCTATAAGTTGTGTTAACCTTTTTATCGTGTGATGCTGTGTTTTCATTTATAATTATTTTAAATTTGTAGTAAATAATCCAGTTCTGACAAAGCAAAGCCAGGGCAAACAGTGCAATTGAAGAGGAGGAATAGAAACATTTGTCTACTTTCTCCTCTTCTCTCTATGCTTCTTCTATGCTGACTGCCAGGTGCAAAAGAGTTTAGAACAGTCATGGCTAACCTTGACACCATAAATTGTTTCTGGACTACATTTCCCATGATGCTCAGCTAGCTTCAGTGATTGACCGGGAATAACGAATCCTTATATTTGTTTGCTGCTGAGACAAGAGCTTTTAAGTAACCTTGTAAATTTTAAAAACTGTATTTTTGTGTGTGTGCTGTTCCTTAATCTGTATTTTGTAGAAATGTTGGTCTTTTTGGGCAGTACCATCGCTGACAAATGCATGTTCCGGGTGTGCCCCTTATTCCCTTTTTTTTCTAGGGATGGTGGCACCCAATTTCAGGTTAAAGAGGTGTGGATTTCTATTTTTAATAAAAATTTTCACACCTCACAGACACGTACTAGGTAAGTGTAGGGATAATTAAGCAGCAGATTAATAAATCCAGGGAAATGACCATTCCTTTTTAAAGAGCTCTGTTATATAACTTATTTATTGCAATTTCACTTTCTTGTATTGGAAAACTAACCTACATATCATACTCGTACTAAGACAATGCGCTGTATCTCATCTTGTTACTAGGAAACAGAGTTATCCTTACTTTTCTTAGTAGAATGTTAAGTTATCTCTCCGCAGACTAGTAGGATATCAGGTTATCTCCTCTTACAATGCCTCTAAGCCTTTTCTAATCCTGTTGCTGTTCTACTAAGCTATCTTACATCCTGTCCATGAGATACTGAGCTATATATCAACGTTTGCATTAGTATATGGAAATGTCTTGTTGCTGTGTTATAAGCAATTACGGGAGCTATCTCTTGAGATGTTGAATCATCTTAACTCCTGTTACCAAGGTGTTTGTCAGTCATATGTACTCCTCTGGTTCTAAATAACTTAGCTATCATTCATCCTACTACTAACACGTTGTCTTCTATCTGAACTTGTTAGGATACTGGTTTCTGGGTTATTGGGTCACAGATCTCGCATTGGTCCATTTACTGGGATGCTAGTATGGTACGGAGATATGTCCATTCCTCTTATTAGTAAACTTACAAACTTAAAACAAACCCATGTTAGTAGGATTTCAAACTATACTGTCCTCTTTTTAGTAAGATGGTTATAGTTATATTCCATATATGTTAGTGAGATATTGTGATATATTATCATCATTTTAGTAAGGGTACCAAGATATATTATCATCAAGCTATCTCGGCTTCCTATTAGATAATAATAATAATAATAATTATAATAATTCAGATTGAGTTAACACTAACCCTGTTAGTAGGATACTGAACTATCTTGTTCACCTGATAGTAATATTCAATCATGTTAGAATACTGAGCTACCTGCTACCTATGCAAATAGGGTCCTGGGATATTGTTTCCTCTGGTTAGAAGAATTCTCAGCTATTTATGACCCATGTTAGAAGGAAGTTTGGTTATATATAACTCAGGTTGGTAGCATACTGAGCTACACACACTTATAATGGAGTATTAAGCTATGTGTTGTTTATTTAGAAGAATGTTGACCTATCTCTTCCTCATATTATTAAGATTCTGAGTCATATATTTTCATACTGAGCTACAGTATATCTTACCCATGTTAGTAGAATACTGAGCAATATTTACCCATGTTAGTAGAATACTGAGTTATATCTCACCCATGTTAATAATACTGAGTTATATCCTACCCATGTTAATAAAATACTGAGTTATATCGTACCCATGTTAGTAGAATACTGAGCTATACCTTACCCATGTTAGTAGTATACTAAACTATATCTCACCCATGTTAATAAAATACTGAGTTATATCGTACCCATGTTAGTAGAACACTGAGTTATATTTTACCCATTTTAGTAGAATTCTGATCTATAGCTTACCCATGTTTATAGAATACTGAGTTATATTGTACCCATGTTAGTAGAATTCTGATCTACCGTATTTGCTCGATTACAAGACAAGGGTTTTTTTTTTCCAGGAAAAAAACATCTGAAAAAATGACATTGTCTTATAATCGAGGTCGTCTTTTAATAAGACCTAAGAGGTCTGATGTCTGATTAAAGCTCTAAAGCTTTAAAGGTGTTACAAGCACCTGCACCTCTTCACCAATCCTGGGCCATCAAGGAATGCTTCGGTACGGCTTGGTTACTCCGGGAGGTATCCGGTGACGGTGAATTGTCTGCAGGTGTGGGGGGTGGGCGGTGAGTGGGTCACGGTGAGGGTGGTTTGAGGCCATTTCCCTCCTCAGGTGAGAGTCCTGTAACGGCTGGGTGATCCTTGGCACTGTTATGTCCCTGCCTCACAGAACACCATCTACCTGGCAATGATTCATATGTACAATATATATGATATGTGTGATCATGAGTACAATCATATATATTGAATATATGAATCATTGCATAACTGCCAGTCTGCTGCCAAAGCTGGGCACATTCCAGAAATTACTCTTGGAATTTTACTGGATGCATTTTTTGGCTCCTCACTGTAATGAATTGCATACTTCTTGGGCACTTAAACTATAAATACTTTGTTGTACCTTAAAAAACAAGTCTCTGATAGATAGATAGATCGATAGATAGATAGATAGATAGATGTATCTGTGTGTATCTGTGTGCGTATGTGTCTGTATGTGTGTCAGTGGATCTGTATATCTGTGTGTTAATGTGTGCCCCTGTGTATATGTGTGTGTCAGCATTTGTATGTGTCATTGAGTGTATATGTGTGTCTGTGTATCTGCATGTGTGTCATTATATGTGACTTTGTATCTGTGTATTTGTGTCTATATGTGTGCATGTGGGTGTGTCTGTGTGCATATGAGTGTGTCTGTATGTGTGTCTGTGTATCTGTGTCTATATATGTGCACATGTATGTATTTGAGCTAATTATTCCTCTGTGTAAGTAAGATTCTGAGCTAGTTATTCCTCCTGTTAGTAGTATTATGGGCTAGTTATTCCTCTTGTTGGTCAGATTCTGAGCTAGTTATTCATCCTGTAGGAAAATTTCTGAGCTAGTTATTTCTCCTGTTAGTTAGTAGTATTTCGAGCCAGCTATTCCCCATGTTAGTTACTAGTAGTTTGAGCTAACTATTCCTCCTATTAGTTAGTATTTTGAGCAAGCTATTCCTCCTGTTAGTTAGTAGTATTTCGAGCTAGCTGTTCCCCATGTTAGTTACTAGTAGTTTGAGCTAGTTATTCATACTGTTAGTTACTAGTAGTTTGAGCTAGCTATTCCTCCTGTTAGTTACTGGCAGTTTGAGCTAGGTATTCCTCCTGTTAGTTAGTAGTATTTTGAGCTAGCTATTCCTCCTGTTAGTTACTAGTAGTTTGAGCTAGTTATTCCTACTGTTAGTTACTAGTAGTTTGAGCTAGTTATTCCTACTGTTAGTTACTAGTAGTTTGAGCTAGTTATTCCTACTGTTAGTTACTAGTAGTTTGAGCTAGCTATTCCTCCTGTTAGTTACTGGCAATTTGAGCTAGCTATTCCTCCTGTTAGTTAGTAGTATTTCGAGCTAGCTATTCCTCCTGTTAGTTACTAGTAGTTTGAGCTAGTTATTCCTACTGTTAGTTACTAGTAGTTTGAGCTAGCTATTCCTCCTGTTAGTTACTAGTAGTTTGAGCTAGTTATTCCTACTGTTAGTTACTAGTAGTTTGAGCTAGCTATTCCTCCTGTTAGTTACTGGCCGTTTGAGCTAACTATTCCTCCTGTTAGTAGTATTTTGAGCTAACTATTCCTCCTGTTAGTATTTTGAGCTAGTTATTCCTCCTATTAGTTAGTAGTATTTTAAGCTAACTATTCCTCCTGTTAGTAGTATTTTGAGCTAGCTATTCCTCCTGTTAGTTACTAGTATTTTGAGCTAGCTATTCCTCCTTTTAGTTAGTAGTATTTTGAGCAAACTATTCCTCCTGTTAGTTAGTAGTATTTTGAGATAACTATTCCTCCTGTTAGTTAGTAGTATTTTGAGATAACTATTCCTCCTGTTAGTTAGTAGTATTTTGAGCTAACTATTCCTCCTATTAGTTAGTATTTTGAGCAAGCTATTCCTCCTGTTAGTTAGTAGTATTTTGAGCCAACTATTCATCATGTTAGTAGTATTTTCAGCTAGCTATTCCTCCTGTTAGTTGCTAGTAGTTTGTGTTTGTAGCTATTCCTCCTGTTAGTTGCTATTCCTCCTGTTAGTTAGTAGTATTTTGAGCTAGCTATTCCTCCTGTTAATTAGTAGTATTCTGAGATATTTATTTAACCTATTAGAATACTTAGCTTCTGGGTTAGTTATTTCTCCTGTTAGTAGTAATCTGAGCTAGTTATTCCTCCTATTAGAATACTTAGCTCTACCTTCTATTGGTAGGACACTGGGTTACCTATGCATCCTGTTTGTAGGTTACCGAGGTGACTTCTCATCCTGTTTTGTGGAATATTGAGCTATCTCTTCCTCCTATTAGGAGGGTCCTGAGCTAGCTATTCCTCCTAATAGTAGGATACTGTCTCTTCCGTTAGTTATCGGATGCTGAGCGATCTCTTGCACCTGTTATTAGAATACTGAGCTATCGCCTCATCCTGTCAGTTAGATAGTACGATAGTGAGTTATCTCCTAAACCTGTTACTAATTTAACTTGTTGGTTGGATGCTGATCTATCTAATCCTCCTGTTAGTAGAATACTAAGCTATTACTTCATCCTGTTATTAGGTTAATTTGTTTTTAGTTGGACACTGATTTAGCTATTCCTCCGGTTAGTAGCATACTTATCTATCTCTTCATCCTGTTAGTAGGGCACTGAGCTAGTATTCCTGGTGTTAGTTAGTAGGATACTGAGCTGAGCCCTTTGCTCTATACTAGGGCTGCCCAACAGGCAGATCCCCAGATGTTGTAGAACTACAACTCCCATGAAGCTTTGTAATTTTAAAGGCATGCAAGGCGTCATGGGAGTTGTAGTTCTACAACATCTGGGGATCTACCTCTTGGGCAGCCCTGCTCTGCACGGTCTGTCTACTAGTTTTGGGAAAGCAATATATTTCAGTATGTTTGTCTTTAAGTACTTACTGAGCAGTCTCTAAGTAGAACAATGAGCAATCTCTTCTGTGTGTTTTACCCTGATCTCTCACTCAATCTTTCACTAGATGCTGAACTAACTCTGTTTTTTTGGTACGTGAGGGGTCTCGCAGATAACCAGCCTCCTATGTCCTAGACGGATCTCCCTCCCAGTCTCCTCTCAGATCCCAGAACACATGGCAGTGACGTCCTGTACCAGAAATAGAGAGAACTGCATCCAATTAGATTCGCTCCAAAACACCATTACATTGTTAACCCATCTCTCTCCCACACGTCGTAACATTGTGATTTTAAATAATAAAACTTACAGATACCCAGTATTTCCATATAACACCCTAATTCTTGTCTGTCATTAATACAATGTATGATTACACTATGTATCTATAAGAGCCTCTGACAACAACGCAGTATATAGTGATACTAAGCATCTATGTGCTTATATAATCCAGTGACACAGCAGTGAAATTGAGTTTTAATGTGCTCATACGAAACACATCATTCATTGTTTGGCTGCAATAGTATAAATTGGCAGTAAATTGAAATAAGTGTTATAGACTAAATGAAAAACATGCCATACATTTTTAATGCGTTGTGCATTTTTTTAAGTTGTTTCTTCTGTTTGTGAGTGTGTGTGTGTGTTTTGTTGTTGTCTTTATGAATAAATTGAATATATATTTCCTGGCTTCACATTATGGGCGACAAGGGACAGTTCCTCAGTGTTTACTGGGGTAAGTATTGCAGTGGAATACAATTAACCTCTGCAGCACTTCCATGTCCAGAGAGGTGGATTCTTTTCCAAAATTTCATGCACCTACTTGCCCTTATGAAAATCTCACACGATGCAATTGGTTGTTCAGTTAAAGGGCTAAACCAAGACCCGCTGGATTGATAATGTTCCCAGTAGTACTCTGGCCCAGCTCTCGGGTAATGGAGAAAACAACGATTTGTCCCCTTTCCTGTGTGCTTGACGGGTTCCAATGCTGCCTGGTGGTCCAGTGAAATGCTTCCAGCATTTGCAGAGTCGCAGCCATTGCCATTTGTTGGCTGACAGCGTCAACTGACCACTCTCAGCCAATGACTAACATTCTATGCATTGAAAGTTGCACAGAATTGACATCAGCCTGCCCAGCAGTCTAGTTCCAGGGTGCCTAATGACACCCCAATGAAGCTGCCAGAGATGGATTTACAAACTTCGGATCAGAGGGATTAAACTCTATATGTGTATTGTTTCATAAAAAAATGCTGCACATACAGACTACAATCACCATGACCACTTCAAATCACTGAAGTGATCATGGTGCTTGGGTACCCCTTTAATTTACATGGTAATCTCTGGTGATGTCATTCATGCCTACTATCTAAATAAAAAATTTAAGTTTGCTCTGAATGAATTTTTTTTTAAATTTTTTTTATTACACACAGGCTATAATGAACTATAATATCATGTCAAAACCCCAAATGAGAACTGTCCGCTTTAAGATTTTACACCTTTGTATATTCATAAATTACATTTATATGTTTTGATATATTACCTGCAGAGCCATCTTGATGTAGTCTGCAGAGTCGTATGCCTTGTGATATAATTAGTGAATATATTGAAGCACATCTGTCATACAAATATGACATGTTATCGCTCTATGGACGATTATATTTTATCTATACATTATAATGACGAAAGTTCCAGCAAGTGTATAAATGAGATTTTCAGTTTTCATAAGTCTGTCGACCGAATGCAGTGGATTAACTAGCATGATGTACAGATCGCATTTTACTAGATGCGTGAATTAGACCTTGAGCAACCTTCTTGTTCCAAGGAGAAATCTAATTGCTGTTTTGGAGTCACCTAAATTAGTTTTGTTTTCTTTTTACCTTCTTTTAACTTGATGAGCTTCTACAGCCTGTATAACTGTGTAACTGCATATCTACTGTATTAGCAGGCTGCAGGACCACTTTTAGTCACCTGAAGCACTCTTAAAGGGACACCATAGTCACCAAAACAACATTAACTTAATTAAGCTATTTTGGTGTATAGATCATGCCTCTGAAGTTTCGCTGTTCAATTCTCTGCCATTTAGGCGTTAAATCACTTTTGTTTCTGTTTATGCAGCCCTAGACACACCTCCCCTGGCTGTGACTCACACAGCCTGTATGAAAACAACATGGTTTCATTTTCAATCAGATGCAACTTACTTTAAAAGTTTCATCCCCTGCTCTGTAAATTGAACTTTAATTACATTCAGGAGCAGAAGCAGCTTTTATCAGAGCAGGTGACAATAAATTATAAATTAGACAGAATGTACATTAAAGTAAGTGTAAACATCAGATGACTCTTTACAGGAAGTATTTAGGAAGGCTGTGTAAGTCACATGCGGAGAGGTGTGTGACTAGGGCTACATTAACAAAGTGATTTAAATGGATACTATAGTCACCAAAACAATTTTAGCTTAATTATGTAGTTTTGGTGTGTAGATCATGCCTCTGCAATTCCATTGCTCAGTTCTCTGCCATTTAGGAGTTAGATCACATATAGTCACACTTCCCTGCATGTGACCTACACAGCCTTCCTAAACACTTCCTGTAAAGAGAGAGCTAATGCTTACACTTCCTTTATTGCAAATTCTGTTTAACTAAGAATTTATTATCTACTGCTCTGTAAATAGCTTGCTAGGAAATGAAACCATTTTGTTTTCATGAAGGCTGTGTAGGGCACTATAGTGCCAGGAAAACAAGTATGTTTTCCTGGCACTATAGTGGTCCTTTAATGTTAAAACAGCCTTGCTACACCATTGGATTTTCCCACTTTTTCATGTGGCCTGTAACCTTGGATACTTAACTTGCCTTTGGGGCCTGGCTAAAACAATGCAGATTAGTAACTATCACACAATTTATTCAAATCTATAAATGTTTATTTTGCAGCTCCATTTCACTCTATCATTTTAATTACCCTTAAAGAAACCTCAAGTGCTTTTGACAAGTGAACACTTATATACCTTTGTACAACACCACTGAATGTGTTGGCACTTATGTATAATAGTAATTGAAGCACTGTAAGTAGCACTGATAGGGTTTATTCAGAGTTTATGAAATGAAGCTTAACCCCGTTTATTTGTAATATACTTCTTCAAGAGATACAGTCTCAGACTTTAACTCTTTAATGATATATAATGTTCTAGTCAATACTGTCAATATGTGGCTTGTTTCAAAAGCTTGTTATGATAGCAGTTACCCTGCCTTACTTGAAAAAGTAACTAAACATGTCTTCCAGAAGATGACATTTTATAGTGGGAGAGCTGGGACTTTCAACGTTTTGGCTGCCACCTCTTAATTAAGGCCTTCAGAGTCATCTCTTCCCCAGAGGAAGGGCCATACAAGGCAGATTCGGGGCAGTGGCAGAAGTCACCGGATGTCCCTTGATACAGTTTCCTGTCAGTTCTTGTCTGGCCGAGGAGGGTAGAATCAGTGAGAACCTCAAACCAACCAGTCACAGACTCCAGAACACTGGACTTAGCTGTCCACAGTAATGTGTCTAGCTCTAGACTGACACAAGACACCTTGCACAGGTTACACAAAGACGATTCTGAGCACATTGGGGTTCAGCTAAAAACAAAATAAAACAGTGTAATTTTGCATTGAGCAATGACAGCCTGCAAGTACAATAGTTTGAGGTGTGCCAAGCAAATACATGCTGCACTGGCCCTTTTAACAAAATAATCTAATTCTGTCTCAAATAATTTACACTGCATTCAATCTTGTAAGTGAGGGGTGCCCAAAATGTAGCTCCCCAGATGTTTTAAAACTACAGCTTTCATTATACTTTGTCATTCAAAGGGCATGCTAAGAGCAAGCAAAGTATCATGGGAGTTGTAGTTTTACATCTGGGGATCTACTTTTAGGGCAGCCCAATTGTAAATCATTTGAATTTTGACAAACATCCATTATTTCTTTCCATGAGATTCCAATGGCTTTTTACCAAACCAAATGTCATACTTATAGGCCCGGTTGTTACCTGAATCTCCCTGCTCTGCCCTTATTTGTCAAATGATTGTGCATTCATATATTTCCAGACAACAGTGTCTGGTCACAGAGTTCAGCATATGGCGCTGCGCACACAGACCAAAGCTCTTTTAATAACTGGAGACGCTGTGACTTCTCTACTTTTCATTTTGATAAAGCTTCTAAGGCATCATCCTCTGTAAACAGATGTTGTAAATATGCAACACTGTACACATTAACCCCTCTTCAACTGCCCAAACTACTGTAACAATATCAACTAGTATTAAAGGGACACTCCAGGCTCGCAGACCACATCTGCCCATTGGAGTGGTCTGGGTGCCAACTCCCATCACCCTTAACCCTGCAAGTGTAATTATTGCAGGTTTTATTAACTTTAATAATTACCTTGCAGGGTTAAGTCCTCCTCTACTGGCTGTCTACTAGACAGCCACTAGAGGGACTTCCGGATTCTTAAAACACAAAAAGTGTTTTAAATGACGCTAGATGTCCTCACGAAATGCATGAGGACCTCCAGCATCGCCAGAATCCCCATAGGAAAGCATTGAATAAGGGACATCAGGGCTGGATTCAGGTAAGTCACTGAAGTTGTTTTATCCACTTCTGCAACATGGGATGAGGGAGGGGGGCACTTCAGGATTCTGCAGTGCCAGGAAACCAAATTTGTTTTCCTGGCACTGGAGAGTCCCTTTAATAACATGCGCAGTGGCGAGTGGGAATTTAGATTTAATATCTACCAACTTTTGAAATGGACAGTGAGGGACACTTTCATTTTAGGTGTGTGCGTGGGGATGTGGCCATTGTTCGGGCTGTTCTGAAACATTTTAGGTGACTTACTAATAATAATTAATGCAACTAAAATGTAATTGAGAACAAAAACACATTACTGGGAGTATTACTGCTGTGGGGCTCTGTTACACAGTCAGACACACCAACAATATAGAGCAACTAGAAAAGAGGGAGAGATGGTTTGGGAGCCAAAATAGGGACTGTCCCTCTTAAATAGGAGGTATGAGTTACAATGAATAGATTCCACAACCAATGGTACACCTATCTATGCATTGTAACTTTTCATTCATATTTCAGAGTATTTCACAAAAAGGGATTCTGGATAGATACACACTGGGTCCACTAATCCATTAAGGACCAATGGCAGGCATGCTGTGAAATTTGCCTACCCCAGTAATAGGAGGAGTTATAGAGATAGGTTATATTGAATAATAGGAGTAGTTATAGAGAGAGGTTATATGGAGTAATAGGAGGAGTTATAGAGAGAGGTTATATGGAGTAATAGGAGGAGTTATAGGGAGAGGTTATATGGAGTGATAGGAGGAGTTATAGAGAGAGGTTATATGGAGTGATAGGAGGAGTTATAGGGAGAGGTTATATGGAGTGATAGGAGGAGTTATAGAGAGAGGTTATATGGAGTGATAGGAGGAGTTATAGAGAGAGGTTATATGGAGTAATAGGAGGAGTTATAGGGAGAGGTTATATGGAGTAATAGAAGGAGTTATAGGGAGAGGTTATATGGAGTAATCGGAGGAGTTATAGGGAGAGGTTATATGGAGCAATAGGAGGAGTTATAGGGAGAGGTTATATGGAGTAATAGGAGGAGTTATAGGGAGAGGTTATATGGAGTAATAGAAGGAGTTATAGAGAGAAGCTATATGGAGTAATAGGAGGAGTTATGGGGAGAGGTTATATGGAGTAATAGAAGGAGTTATAGAGAGAGGCTATATGGAGTAATAGGAGGAGTTATAGGGAGAGGTTATATGGAGTAATAGGAGGAGTTATAGGGAGAGATTATATGGAGTAATAGGAGGAGTAATAGAGAGAGGTTATATGGAGTAATAGGAGGAGTTATAGGTAGAGGTTATATGGAGTAATAGGAGGAGTTATAGGGAGAGGTTATATGGAGTAATAGAGGAGTTAAGAGAGAGGCTATATGGAGGAGGAGTTATAGGGGGAGGTTATATGGAGTAATAGGAGGAGTTATAGTGAGGTTATAAGGAGTAATAGGAGGATTTATAGTGAGAGGTTATAAGGAGTAATAGGAAGCATTATAGGGAGAGGTTATATGGAGTAATAGGAGGAGTTATAGGGAGAGGTTATATGGAATAATAGGAGGAGTTATAGAGAGAGGTTATATTGAGTAATAGGAGGAGTTATAGGGGAGGTATATGGAGTAATAGGAGGAGTTATAGTGAGGTTAGAGTAATAGGAGGATTTATAGTGGAGGTTATAAGGAGTAATAGGAAGCATTATAGGGAGAGGTTATATGGAGTAATAGGAGGAGTTATAGGGAGAGGTTATATGGAGTAAGGGAGAGGTTGTATGGAGTAATGGGAGGAGTTATAGAGAGAGGTTATATTGAGTAACCGGAGGAGTTATAGCGAGAGGTTATATGGAGTAATAGGAGGAGTTATAGGGAGAGGTTATATAGAGTAATAGGAAGAGTTAGAGTTTATAGGAAATTATAGAAAGAGGTTGCATGGGGTATATAGCATACACCCCAACATTTCACACAGACAAAGAGGGTCAATTTTAAAGTAACACTATAGGGTCGGGAACACAAACATGTATTCCTGACCCTATAGTGTTTAACCCACCATTTAGGTGGCTTTCCCCCCCCCCTTAGCCCCCCTATAAAAGTTTAAAACTCACCTTATTTTCAGCGCCGCATTGGTCTGCTGGCGCTGGCTCTGCCCCCTTTGTGACATCATCAAAATGGCTGTTTTTTTAGCTAAAATCGGCATGGGGGCGGGGCCAAATGCCGTTTTGGCCAGTCAAGACCTCCTCATAGAGATGCATTGAATCAGTGCATATCTATGAGGAAAATTCAGCTTCTCCATGCAGAGCGTGGGGAGGCTGAATGTCAGTGCTGCTTTTTCGGCAGCACTGACCCAGGAAGCACCTCCAGTGGCCACTTGGAGGTGTCCCTAGAGGCATGTGTTTGCCTGAAGGGAACTATTATACTCACCATAACTACATTAAAGGAGCACTATAGTGCCAGGAAAACAAACTTGTTCCTGGCACTATAGGATCATTAGGTACCCCCCACCCTCAGGGCTGCTGGGCTGAAGGGGTTAATACCCCTTCAGACACTTACCTTTCTCCAGCGCCGGGCTCCCTCTGTTCTGGGGAACTCTCCACCCCCTGACGACGTCAGATCTGAATGCGCATGCGCGGCAAGAGCATTACTCAAATGCTCTTGCATTACTGAATTACTCAAATGCTTTCCTATGGATGTCCAGGGTCTTCTCACTGTGATTTTCACCGTGAGAATCGCAGAATCGCCTCTAGCGGCTGTCAGTGAGACAGCCACTAGAGGCTTGATTAACCCTCAGTGAAACATAGCAGCTTCTCTGAAACTGCTATGTTTTCAGCTGCAGGGTTAAAACTAGAGGGACCTGGCACCCAGATCACTTCATTGAGCTGAAGTGGTCTGGGTGCCTATAGTGGTCCTTTAAGCTGTAGTTGTTCTGGTGACTATAGTGTACCTTTAATTTCAGAAGTTTGGCTGTGTGGCCATGGGCAAGGTTGTTCTGAGAAATTTTAGGTGACTTACTAATATCCATTTATTCAACTAAAATGTAGTTTTGAACAAAAACAATGTATCTAATTTAGATGCTGATTTCTAAACACATTTATTGTAGTTTAAATCCACATTGCTGTGAGTATTATTGCTCTGGAGCTCCCAGAAAAGAGGGACATTAGCATAGAAAAGTGGGACAGAGGGATTTTGCCCCATTATAGGGACCGTCCCTTCGAAGTAGGGGCACTTGGGATGTCTCCTATAGGGAAAGGTAATGTGGAATGATATATGAGGACTTATTGGGAAAATTATATGGAGTAATGGGAAGAGCTACTTTGGAGAGGTTATATTGAGTAATTGGAGGGATTATAGAGAGTGGTAGTGGATGTGATATATGTAATTACATGAAGACATGTGACTGGAGAGTTAACTGGCTAGTGACCGGTGAAGGTCTATGTTGTTGTAACAATATAGTGTAGCCCAAGGGTAGGCTACCTTTAGCACTCCAGATGTTTTAGGCTACATCTTCTAGAATGCTCTTACAACCATAATGCTGGCAAAGCATCATGGAAGATGTAGTCCACAACAAATGCAGTGACAAAGGTTGCCTACCCCCGGGCTAGACGCTAGACCCAGGTCTCGTATAAAACATATTAATTATTTCCCATTTTTAGTGCCGCATGAACTATGTTGGTGTATAATTAGGAATTAGCTTTTGGTCCTCTTGGGGTTAATATGGACGAATTACATGAAGCAAATCTAATACTGCCATTTGCCAAGTTCAGTCATGCTGCCGGAAATTAACTCCTTAGTGTGCAGAGTCAGCTGAAACAGAAGCGCTAATTAAATATGCAGCAATCCCTGTGGGATAAAAGTATCTGATTAACGCCCTTGGATTCAGACAGAAACCTGTGCCGCCTTCAGTGTACCTGTGTTGTGTTTACAGGTCACAATGGAGGATTTGTACTGCATGGTGAAGGGCTGGGTGAGAGGCGGAGGCTGGCATCACCACTGCCCTGTAATCTGTGAGAGAAAAAAAAACAAAACAAAAAAAACATTTGGCAGAGTATTTGTTTGTGAGGGGAAATCCCTCGCTCACGTATAAATAGGAATCCTGTGCCAGTGATGATCTTCATCCTGTTAAGCAAGCACTGGCAGCAACGTCAGTAAGGGAGGCGGGTCACTGTGTGCGCCAAGTGCCTGAGTATCACCTCTTGTGCCGTAATTTTTAATATTCAGCATTAATTACAGAGAGGGGAACTGCTGTGAAGTGTTGTATTTTTCCAAACATTTCAAAGAGCTGGAAAGAACCTAGGCAAATACAAATTGCCTACAAACGTGTTTAGTTCGACTAATTTCGACTAATTCAATCTTTCTAATTTTCGGACAGGAACAGCCTAGGGTCTTCAGGCACACTGCGTAGAAATTTATATCTTGTCTACATAAGTATACATCCTTGTTCCTTGTGCATGCAATATAATTACGTGGCATATTGCAATAAAAGTGTGTGTATTTTGGTGTTCCTGTGTGTTTGTCTCTATCCTTGTTCCTGTGTGTGCACTGTAATATTAAAAATAGGTTCCAAACCATCATAAATAATGTAAAATGCAGTTGTGTAGTGCAATTCCCATGGATTGTAGGAACTTTAGTTAAACACCTTAAAGGCCACACCCACCATTTGTTTGTACAGTATAGTCAATTCCTATGATGCTCATGTTGGCTGAGTGTCATACGAATTGTTTATCACATACATTTTTTAACCCTCCACAGTTATAATTCCCTAGCCAGTTATCTCCCCAAGCCCCCCATGTTATCTGTTCCTGGCCCCCCTAGCTATGTCTCCCCTCCCTCCTCCCTGTTATGTTCTCTCAGTCTCTCCTTGTAATATACCTGTATCGTGGCTGAACTAGTAATATAGCTGTATCGTGGCTGAACTGTCATTGCTTAGTGCAGCGCTGTGGGAGGTGGGGACAAGACGTAAAATTAACTACCCATCTCTCTTTTAGTGTGCAGCCATCAATCATGGAGGGTTTAACTAGTAAGGCTAAGAAGAAATAAACAGAGCTGCACTAAGCTGAAGCAGATCAGCCATGCTACTAGCATGGGCAGCTGGAGGGAATGGTGGTGGGCTAAGCAGTGCAGTTATTGTTGCCCTAAGCAGTGCAGCAGAGACTTCTCTCTGTCTGCGTCTGGTGTCAATACACAGACTGCACACGTCCAATCCCTGCCCTGCTTCATTAAATACATTAGAAGAATTGTGGCCCATAATACTCAACCTCTTAGTCTTTATAACTTCCTCTTATAGCTCCTCCTTTTGCTCCATGCAACCTCTCCTTATATCTCCTCCTGATACCCAATATAACCTTTCTCTATAACTCCTCCTATTACTCCATATAACCTCTCCCTATAACTCCTCCTATTACTCCATATAACCTCTCTATAACTCCTCCTATTACTCCATATAACTCTCCCTATAACTCCTCCTATTACTCCATATAACCTCTCTCTATAACTCCTCCTATTACTCCATATAACCTCTCCCTATAACTCCTCCTATTACTCCATATAACCTCTCCTATAACTCCTCCTATTACTCCATATAACCTCTCCTATAACTCCTCCTATTACTCCATATAACCTCTCTCTATAACTCCTCCTATTACTCCATATAAACTCTCCCTATAACTCCTCCTAATACTCCATATAACCTCTACCTATAACTCCTCCTATTACTCCATATAACCTCTCTCTATAACTCCTCCTATTACTCCATATAACCTCTCCCTATAACTCCTCCTAATACTCCATATAATCTCTACCTATAACTCCTCCTATTACTCCATATAACCTCTCTCTATAACTCCTCCTATTACTCAATATAACCTCTCCCTATAACTCCTCCTATTACTCCATATAACCTCTCCCTATAATTCCTCCTAATACTCCATATAACCTCTCCCTATAACTCCTCCGTTTACTCCATATAACCTCCCCCTATTACTCCATATAACCTCTCCCTATAATTCCTCTTATTACTCCATATAACCTCTCCCTATAACTCCTCCTATTACTTCATATAACCTCTCCCTATAACTCCTCCTATTACTCCATATAACCTCTCCCTATAACTCCTCCTATTACTTCATATAACCTCTCCCTATAACTCCTACTACTTATATAACCTCTCCCTATAAAGTCCATCTTTATATATAACTTTATATAACCTCCATCATTCCTCCAATTGCACCATGTGACTTCGTCCTGTAATGTCTCATGATGTTCAATATAATAGCTATGTTGATTTGTATCTATGTATTGTTGAAAATGTGCTTGGGAGTTTTTTTTGGTACAGACGATCGTTTTATCGTTCCTGGCCATGTGTGCCTGTTCACTGATAAGGACACACATGATAAAATACATTTGTACTGGGTTTAAAATGCTGTATTCAGTATACTTTAGCTAGTTTAATTAGCACTTCGTAATAAGTCAGTGATTATTAGTAATAATTCAATGATTCCTAAAAAGTGAAAATGTCAGTAGAAACTAATTGGCCATCTTGCATTTTCTATAGGAGTATTTTGATTATAAGCTCTGTAATTTAGGAGCAATGTTAAAGAATTACTCCAACCTTTTGCCCAACTTTTCTTATTCTTTCAGTCTTTTCAAGAAGCACCTATTAACTATCTGCGACTTGCCCCCCCCCTTTCACCCCTACTCCAGGCACCATAACAACATTATCTAAATGAAGTAGATTTTGGGGTGTCACTGATTGGCTGAGACCGTCAGCTGTCTGCTCTCAGCCAATCAGCGCTACACTTGCCTAGAGGCACTCTGCGCTTCCAAAAACTGAAATTGAGTTCAGCGCTGGAGGCAACTTTGGGGTTAGCCATTCGAAAACAGTTTAACCTCTTGAGGCAAGAGTGCACCCGAGGGCCTCCTGGCACTATAACAACTTAATTTAGATGAAGTTGTTATGATGCCTAAACTGTCCTTTTAAAACTTACCCGGTATCCAGAAATGGGTGAGGTCTCCTTTTCCTTTGCTCATGCCGTGTCACTCTTTCCCTATTCAAGGTAAAACCAAATGTGAAGCATCGTTGGACATCGCGAACATGTGCAGACAGCAGCGCAAATGTGCTGGAAACATTAAGTGAATAAAGGGTTGGGACAAAAAGAAGCACAATACATACTGGCAGGGAGGGGACAATTTTTCATGGCCAAATGTAGGGGAGAAAACAAAAAACAAAAAATTAAAAGAGCATGTAGGGAGGCAGGTTCAAGACCAATTAGTAGACATTTAGTTGGACTGTGTGTGTGCGAGATGCATGCGCACTGTCCAGCATGCTTCTACTTGCAGGCACACTCACAGCGGTGTTTGCAAGTGAAGAAGCGCGTGCTGATGACCTATGTAATTTTTGCACAGGACTTACATTAGGAATTTTGGAACATAGTCATGTGAGCTAGCGGTGCAAAAGTACTGATTTCTCGAGCTGAATCTCTGCTCATACAGATTGGATTGCTCCATGACCACTTCTAAAAGCAGAAGGGGTCACAGAGTTTGGCGTGACCATTTAACGTTACTTTAAACCAGAGTACATTATCATTCATCAAAAGTTAAACATTTCTGTTCATTAGCTATGGAGCTATATATAGTGGAGGCATGTTTTTGATCTGTTTTGTATAGGTAAGCATAGAAGGTGTTTGTGAGTTTTGTGTGTTTGAGAGGTTTGGCATGCAAAGCCCGAGAAGGCAGCTTTTATTCGCTAAACACCGAACTGTAGTATATTAAAAGCTGAATTGCAAAATGTAATCAAAAACAGCCAAACTGCGACTATAGATGAGGTTTTTAAAAAAATAAATATATGTGAAATTGTCTAATTTGGGCTATTTTTCCAATTTACTTTTTAATTCACTACAGTTCACTGTTTAATGAATAAACCCCTTTATGTTAGCACGAAGTGGGTGTGTTGTCACAGTTTGTTTTTTTGTATTTGTTAATCCTGCATGTGAGAGGTATTGGGCATGAATCATTCATGGAAGGTGTGTTTGAGCGCTGCAGGTCTATTATAGTGGATGCTTTTTGCGAGCCTAACTCAGAAAGGAGTTAGTAAAGTTTTGGGGTTCCTCTAATGTGATCTCCAATCATTCTTTATTGCCCAATGTATTTTGATATTACACCTGACCATGTCTCCTGTCTTATATCTGGACCTGTAATGAAATAATTAGATATAAATTAACTTCCCATTTAATTCTTTCAATTAGATTAGCAACATGGAAGTTAATGAAAGTGCAGATTCACTATGAGAGAGCATACCGAGAGAGTCACAACTGCAATAGTAATATTAATCTTCATGGATTTATTTATGTTTGTTGTGTTAGAGCCCACACAGTGCTACCAATTTTAGGTGTCATAAAAGTACAAATTTGCTCCAAGAGCTGACAATCTAACAGCAATCAGAGCTGGATGGAAAGAGAGAGCTATAAGGTGACAGTTTGCCCTTTGGGGTCAGGCAAGAGACGGATGTTTATCCCCCGGGCTTGTGTCCCGTGACTGCCCCTCCCTCTCTAGTGCTCGTCCCCTCCCTGTCACAGGGGGGGGATATTTCAGGTGTTGGGATGCAGGCCTTGGCTGGGAGCCATGAACTGGGAAGACCTCAGGAGCTGGCAAATTGCCCAGGCCCCTGTCTGGTACAGCATGTACTTCACCAGTGGGTGGGGGGGGACCTGAGGAGAGGGAGAGGAGGACTGAGGGGGAAATTCTGCAGATATTCATCTTCACTGAGGTGTCCACTGTAAAATTAACCTCTGCACTGCTGGATTGAGAATATGACAATAGCTTCCCATTGTGTTGGCGGTGAGATCCAGGGAGTGTTAATGTGTGCACAAGGTGTTACTGCGTTCAGGGCTGCAAGTTCACAGGCACAGAAAAAAGTTCTGGAATCTGGAGTCTGGCTGTGCCACCGCAGACTGACCTAGTGACACAGATAACAGCAGAATAGCCTGTTTGTCAATGTGCAAGGTGGCGAGGGCGCAGAAGCTATGGGCCAACAGGATCTAATCATGGGTTGGGGGGAGCAAAATAATAGGCATGGGGTGCCCAAAAGGTAGATCCCCAGAGGTTTTAAAACTACAGCTTTCATGATGCTTTGTCATTCTAAAGGCAGGCAAAGCATCATGGGAGTTGTAGTTCTGCAACATCTGGTGATCTATCTTTTGGGTAACCCAGTTATAGAGTCTCCACTGTTTGAGAACTACAGCTCGCATGAAGCTTTGACAGGCTTAAGGCTGCCAAGGCCACGTGGGTGTTGTAGTACTACAACAAATAGAGATCTATGCTTGTGCCATCCCTGGTCTAACCTTACCTGCTGCTACAATAACAGAGTTTAAAGGCCAGTGCGAATTTGGATATGAGATAAGGAGTCATCCCTCCCACTGAAGGGTGAGCCTGTTAAAAAAATAAATTTAAAAAAAGGAGAGATAGCTATAAGACATAGGTTCAGTTCCTCCTACTGAAGGGTGACACTGATAATAAATAGATTAATGGACCCATTCCCCTCACTGAAGGGTGAGGATATCTATAGGGCCTGGGTTTGGTAGCTCCTACACTACAGGGTGACAGACAGAAAAGGAGAAGGTAGCTAGAGGACACAGTCTGTCCTTTCATGGTGACACATGTATGTGTACCGAGTCTTGCCTGACCCTGGTGAGACAGACAGGAGGTGTCTGCAGGGATTATCTTTATGAGTACAGTAAAATAGTTTGCCTTACCCCATGCAACCTTTGAAATGTTATGTATGCATGTTCTAATGTATATAATGTTTACCCTAGCTCAAAACAAGCCCATTCCAGAGGAACCACTCCCTGCAATTGAGCCTGCTACTTCCGCATAACTACATATCTCTGCAGATTTTCCAGTGCGTCCCTGCATATCTCTCCAACCCACTGTACAAACCTGTGTATCTGTTCACCTCTCTATACCACCACCCTGTATATCTATCCACCTCTCTATACCTCCACCCTGTATATCTATCCACCTCTCTATACCACCACCCTGTATATCTATCCACCTCTCTATACCTCCACCCTGTATATCTATCCACCTCTCTATACCACCACCCTGTATATCTAACCACCTCTCTATACCACACTGTATATCTATCCACCTCTCTATACCTCCACCCTGTATATCTATCCACCTCTCTATACCACCACCCTGTATATCTATCCACCTCTCTATACCACACTATATATCTATCCACCTCTCTATACCTCCACCCTGTATATCTATCCACCTCTCTATACCACCACCCTGTATATCTATCCACCTCTCTATACCACCCTGTATATCTATCCACCTCTCTATACCACCCTGTATATCTATCCACCTCTCTATACCACCCTGTATATCTGTACCTCTCTATACCACCACCCTGTATATCTATCCACCTCTCTATACCACACTGTATATCTAGTTTACCTCTCTATACCACACTGTATATGTTTCCACCTCTCTATACCACCATGTATATCTATACACCTCTCTATACCACCACCCTGTATATCTGCTCACCTCTCTATACCACCCTGTATATCTGCTCACCTCTCCAAACCACCTTGTATATCTGTTCACCTCTCTATACCACAGTACATATATATTCATATCTCTCTGCATATCAGTTGAGCTCTAACTGCCTTCCTCCATATCAGTTCACCTCTCTGAACCTCCACGCATATCTGTACACCTTTTTACACCCCTTTACATATATATTCACCTCTCGAGGCCTCCCTAAACTCTGAACAGATTTTTCACCTCTCTGTCTGGATATCTGCACAGGTATCTATACTTACCTCCATATCTGGTCACCACTGTACCTTGCTCTCTCGCTATCTATATAGATATATAAATAGTATCTCTACTTCCCTGCATGGCTGTCACATTTCTGGACTTCCCTGCATATGTTTAAATGTGTTCTTCGCTCTGAATCTGTCCTTGCCTCCCACTATAAATATGCACCATGTTCTCCCAAGTGATTTATTTAGGCTTGTTTCTGCCCCAGGCCTAACTACGTACACATATCCACAAAGCATTATATATTTTTCTATACACTTTTATTTCTAATACCCTGCTTGTGTATGCTCTACATCCCTGCATATACCTGTACCTTCTATGTCTCTGTCATTGTTGAGCCTGGAAATGACTCCGAGTTCTTTTTATGAATAGCTATTATTGAACATACAGAGGTATGGCCAATATTTGGGAAGATACAGTGCAATTCTCCAAATCAAATCTTTTTAGATGGTGAAGAATTGGAAGTTTCTGTTTAACAATAATCTATTCCCAGACAGAAACGGTTAAAAGCAGAAGAAAGCTAAAATCCGCAATCCTTTGGTCTGGACATATGTCCACAGAAACACTTACTGAGACAGGTGACTGCCAGAGAAAATAATTGCAACGTTTTCCTACAATTTCCCCCCATCCCTAATGGTCCCCATCCCTCACTCTCCACTGAACTCAATGACATTTGTCAGGAATACAGATACAGTTCTTGAGCTCAGTTCAAATATAGATATTATATTAATGCAGGCACAGAAAATGGCGTCCGAGTACTTCATACCAGGATGACGTTAGAGAAAAAGGCTATTTTGCATTCACATCTCCATAGAGAGGATTTTATTCCTATTTATTTTTTTCTAGAAATTAATGGTATTTCAAAGAAAACAAGCTGATATTAGCACCAATTAGGCAGAAAAAAAATTGAATGACACTTAGGGGTCTGTTCACTAATCAAAGTTACAGTTACTTAAAGAGATACTAATTACCAACCCTTTCCCATAATATCATGTTAAAAACATATAATGCCTCATTGGGCAACAAAATTTAGGTACCTCCCCCAACACCCCTAAAATCATATTAAATAATGCATATATTTACAGTGAACCCACGCCAGGCAAAGCTGGTTTGTGCGCCTTGGTCAATGTCACAGCCTCCTTTGTGAGATCCGGTCAAAAAGCATTCGATTGGACCATTTTCACCAGCTCAAGGAGCAAATGCATGCTCTGAGACAGTAAGGAGAGGGAGTCAGGGTTTGGCAATGGAAGGAAGAAGGGAATATTAAAAACAAAAGCATTACATTGCAGGGAGAGCTAAAATAAGGGAAGGTATCTTCAAGCTTATAAATGTTTGTATCCAGCATGCAGTGCCTGCTGATTACGGGCATAATTTTACAATAATTGACATTTGGCAGTCCAGCAGAGAGCCTAAGTCACGTGTGACAGGGGTGCAACTGGCCCTTGGCACAAAAGTGCTCAGTGTTTCTAGCAGAAATGTTGCACATACAGACTCCTACCACCATATCCACCAGAAAAAAACAATTTGCTAATTAAGGCCCTAACAGGAAAGTTGGAAAAATTGTCCAACTCAGCTTAATTAAAACGATTACATAACTTTGGTTCTCAGCTCATCAGAACTCACTGTTTAGTGAGTAAACCCCATGGTGTGGTGTTCGAGGGCTATATGTTATATCTATATGTCTGCTCTTTCAGACATGATGAGTAATCGTTGCCTGGTCTCTTCTCTGTGGTCTTCTAATCAGGTTGCTAAGATGTGGTTGCTAAGAGCAACAGATGCTGATTGCGACAGAAAAGGTCCAGGTGTGTTGAAGTGAGTCGTATGAGCAATAGCATTGACCCTAAAGTATCAGCAAAAGGAGGCGGACTGCTGCTTTAATCCACATGTGAGAAAAGCTGACCTTCGGTGGCCATTACGGCAGGTTAGACAACTTTGGCCTCACAGGACTTAATTTGCTGTTTCACCTCTTTATCACCATTCTTACAGAATGTTCCTTTTCAAGCACAGCGATGATAATCAATGCAATTCTGCATGTGGCGAGCTATGGCTGATGTAGTTTTAAAGAGTAAGAATGGCAGAGAGGTACTACCTACTCTCTAGAAAACTAAAACCATCAGTATTGTATGCTTTCATTTTTCCCTTTATCAGCCTGTCTTATCGCCACTGACTTCCTGTGTGTTACTTTGGCTCTTTTGCTCTCTCTTATCCTCCTGCTTATCTTTTGTGTTTAACGCAATTAGATCTAAATGCTTGCAATAAGTAAGGAAATCCCGAATAAATGGTTACTGGGAGGTGTTACAAGAAAATGGGCTCTCAGTCCGTATAGATCCACAAGGAAAGCTAAAAGAACAAAAAGTTCATGATGGATAGAAAAAGGCACTCATTAAATCACATTTCAACATCAATTTAGGGAAATTGTCTATGTTCTTGGTGGAATTTTCTTGCTCCTCTCTTGAATCCTCTCTTCGTCCCCCAATCCTTTTTCCTTTATCTTCCTTTACCCAGTTATTGCCGAATGAGTTTGCCTACAAAAAGTTTAAGACTGCTTTCTCGTCTCCCTCCCTGTCATTCTTGTTTCTATTCTCTCACTCTCGCTTGCATATTTTTCTTTCTGTTTTTTCACATTTTTCCACATTATCTCTCCTTTCTGCTCTGTTTCTGATCTGATTTTCTAATCATGCAGGGAATACAGAGGGCATGCTGTCTCTCTACAAATATTTGTAGAATTTGGGAGCCAGACAGTTCTATTCAGGAGATGGGGTTTTTTTAAAGACAAGAAAGAGATGATTACATAGAGTTCCATACGGAACACTCAACACTCCGAAAGAAGAGGTACCCCTTGTTACTTGGGGCTCTGATGGCTTGTAAAACCCTGTTTTGACTGTATCAACTTCTCTCCTATTCTTCATCTATGCACATTTTCCTCTGGTTTAATTTTTCCCGCATCTGGTGGAAATCAGAGTTGTTTATGGCCGAACTCCCTTTTCCAATCTGCATCCTACATCAACATCCAAAAATAACATTCCTTCCTTTGGTTCTGATTTGCAAGATTTTCAAACAGACCGTACTTAGTTAACATACATGTAACGTTAAAGTAAACATGATATCACAAATCACGGGAACTGAATTCTCTGACCGAAGGGAGACCTCATCTTCCAAATACAGGGGAGTACAGGCTCATATATGGAGCCAACCCAATACTGGGTGACAGTGATTAAATCTGGAGCCTGCTCCGCGTTCTGCTGGGCGACTCAGTTGTCATATTTGAGCCACCGCCTGCTTATGTAGGGTGACATAGATCAATATGGAGCCTGCTCCACCCACTGCGGGGTGACAACAGAAATCAAGAAATAGTGGTTTAATAGCCCTTTTACGGCAGGGTGATATAGAAATGTTATCTAAAACCTCCCCCACAAAGTGCAGGTTAACACAGAAATGAAATGCAGAGTGATTAAGGGTTAGTCAGGTGGACGTGATGCAATTTATGTTAACTGATGCCATGCCTGCCCATGGAAGGGATATGTTATCAAGGTGGCCGGTGAGGTGCCCTGAATTTATTTCCTAGTGCATCTTGAGCATGTTGAAATGTGCGCTTGTCCTGTACTTTTCTCTGATCTCCCCAGTAACAGGAAAGTAGAGAAAATGGTGAAAACATTACTACGTATTGAAAAATACCCATCTATATTCATTCATGCTAGAGTTTTTGTGTGTATATTTGTGCTAATAACATTTGTGACACTGGGGTATGTTGGCCTTTGTCACAAACATCCCGTCTGTTGTGTCAGCCATCTTGGAAGATGAGAAAGCGATCTTCAGGTAACTGTTTTTTTTTTTTTAATCCGTGCCATTCCAGTACCAAATTGTGGTGTTATAAAAGATATATATTTAGGAATGTGAGTGTGTGACACAGTGTTTGTTAGTTCAGGTATTAAATATTTCAAACCTTCCAACAATGGGAGGTATGGGCCCAAGGCTGGCCAGAAGGGAGCAGCAACAGTGGGCATGACTGCCCAGAAAAGGAGCAATCCCACCATAAAGTGGACAGAACTGCTCTAAACAGATTCGTGTTAGGCAGGTAAGTTTCCTCAGCCCAGTCTGTTGCACTTATGCTGTTCTGATTGTGGACACCAAAAACTCACCCAGGTTGATGGGACAAAACTATGAATTTGAAGTCCAAACAAGCTCTGGGCAGTTGGGAGATATGAAAACTCATAGGAGATAGAGCCTGAAAGTCCTGAAGCTTTCCTTTACTGTATACTGAATTGTTCAAACTAGATCATTAAAATGACATCACTGGGCTTTTGGGCCCCAGCTCCTCAACCTGTGCTTCTGTCTTCAATGTTGACCTTTCAGAAATACTGTTTGCCAGCACTGCTTTAGAACACGAGTAGAAATGCTTCTCATTTAGTTTTTTGCGTGTCTAACCTTGTAAGATCACTAACACCTTCTATGTTGTGCCTGTCCTTTATACAACAGAATATGTTGGTGATTTATAAATAAATAAAAAGTATTTTATTAATGGTTGTGTTCGCTCTCCTGCCTTAGATTAAGGAAGGTAATTTTCTTCAAATCATTAAATTTTCCTTGTTGTGTCTACAGGTGGCCGGATGGGAAGCGTAAAAGAAAGAACAGTCAATGTATGGGGAAGAGCGGTATGTCAGGTAGGTGGAGAGTCCTGACTGTGTTTAATGTTATATATAACAAAACTGAGATTCTTCCTATTGCAACATTTAACATATTACCGCTTGTACTACTCCATCGAACTCCTCCAGCATTTGCTTACTATAACAGCTCTCAAACATGACATCCCCATTTTGTGTGAGGTGGCCCAAGGGTGAAGCTCATTGTAGATGTGCCTGCATGTTCTCTACTGCAAAACCATTTATTTAGATCCTAGAGCTTCATCCACCAGGATCACTGCTATATTCTTGCACATGTACAAAATAACAACGCCTAGTTCTACAGACAGTCCTGTGAGTCCACTGGATTCTCCATAGACCAACTTCTGTCACTAACATTTTGCCCATTAGACAAAGCAGTTCGACTTTGTCTCAGTATATGTTTTGATCGCGTTGGAATTTTATTGAAATTTCATTACAGTCAACCTTTATATCTTTATGAAATACTTATAAAGTGACCTGAGTTGCTCTAGAATTATTACACTTTCACCCAAATCCTTATACAAACTGTGTTTTCTTCCATTTTGCTGCATCGATTCTCTCCTTATTATTTCTATAAAAGACGTTTCATCCTCCCTCTCTGCTAAGCTCACACTGCACTTACACACCCACTCTCCTTGTCCCTGCCTCTCTTTATCCTTGCTGTATTCTCATTCATTCAATCTATCCACCTATCCTATTGACTCCTTGCACACAGCTTTGCTTTTAAACGCCGTCCCTGCCTTTTCTGTCCCATGGTTCTCTAACTCTTTCTTGGGTTTCCCTCCTGCTTACCCCACTCCCCTGTAATGTCGTGTCATATTCTCCCTCAAATCCATCTCCCTAACCCGCTTTGAAATCCAGTTATTCTTCTCTGAAATAGTTCCCCATAATGTCACTCCCTGTGGCCTAGTTGCAGCTGGTGATATTTTTAGATGGTGGGGTGCTGCCCACTTGACTTGCTGGGCTCTACCTGTTTAACCCCACAGTTCAAAACTAGATCCATCTCCAGTTATTAATAAAGGGAAGAATGTAAACTGTGGATATAATTTTTCTAACAAACATGTATTAGGCCTTACAATGCCAATAGATTTGTGCAGGTTTTTGTATTTATTTTTTTACAACATAAACTGGGGGTCACTGCCCATGACAGGCTCCACCACCTTTGCCTCTAACAAATCTTACCCGATACTTTAACTGTCCTTCTGCATTACAATGTCTTGACCATCTCTCTGCCCCTCCGTTCTTTTCTTATCTCCCCTCTCTCTTCTAGCTTTCCATTCGATTTTAAACCTAATCTCTTGTTCGCCAACTCTGCCTTTAAATTGCTTTTTATCTTCCCTTCGCTCTCCATAATGTTCTCACCCCATTCCCCAAGCTGATGCCCGGCCTGTGTTCACCCTGTTTTGAATCCTGCCCTCTAACCTTCTCTGATCTGTGTTTAAACAGAAGCCCTGTTATAAAACAGAAAAAAAAATTGCTTCCGAAATAGCGAGAGAGACCCACAATAATTGCCCATTACACAATGAACTGGCTTTGTGTGTGTATGTCTGTGTGTCTGGCTTTGTTTACCTATTAACTGTATATGCACTATGTTTTCCTCTGCACCTGACATGTGGTAGTCTGTTTTTGTATGTCAATGGCCCTGACTTCCTGTTAATTCATATAATTTTATTTGTGAAAATAAGAAACGTATAAACATGTGTGCCTTTTTTTTTTTTTTTTTGTTAATATTTGTTTGCATTTTTTTCTTTGTATGTGTAATGTGCTATGTCTAGAAAATGACATAGTGGAGGGAGCTATGGGACATCAAGTCTGTCCCTATCCCCCAGAGTGATTCTGTGAAAATGGCCTGAATAAGATTGTGTCCCTCCTCTCACCCGGTGACACAGGTGACAGCTCGATGTCTCTGCTCTCTGCAGGGTACATCCCTAGCTACTTGGACAAAGATGAGCCGTGCGTGGTGTGCAGTGACAAGGCCACAGGATACCACTACAGATGTATCACCTGTGAGGGTTGCAAGGTGAGTGACCAACAGGTGGCACTTTTGCTTCTGACTTCTGTTCGTTTAGCTGACCCCTAACAATATCTCAATGCCTAGTGCCCACATCCTCCCACATTACATGGACCAATATGCCAGCGCAGGAAAGGATGCACATAATAATATGGGAATTACGTTAATTCTAAGGGCATACATGGTGGCATAGGAGATGCATGAGCAAGACTTAGCAGAGAGGAACAAATGGATTTTATGTAGGGATATGGAACGGTTCTAGAAAGAAGTATGTAAGAGAAGGGGAATGCATAAGAGACTCTATGGAATAGTATGGGATCGAAGGAAAATAATTGGACTGGCAGTAATGAAAAAATTTGGACTGGAATTATGAATTGGACTGGAAGTAAGCATGTTGGTTGTAGAACGTTTAAGAGCAGGAAACAGACAAGCTGCATAAGGCAGACGTCTAATGGATTAGCTTTGCGGGTTTTTACTAGATTATCTGTAAGGAGGGATCTAATGAGTCCACATAGCAAATCTGCCAGTTATAAAAGGAAAGGGGATCTAAGGGGAATGGAAGGAAAAGTCATCTGCTGGGACTGATGGAAAAAGATGATATGCAGCAAATGAAAGGAAAGGTGATCTGTCAAAAGTCGTAGGAAATTAAATCTGCTGGAGGTGATAGGAAAAAGTGATCTGACAGAAGTGATAGAAAGGTGGCTTGATTGGAGTGATTAGAAAGGTAATCAACTGTGTATTTTGAAATGGCAAGCAGTTGAAAGTGATAATAATAACGATTGTGTGCAGACATACGTCTAAAAAAAGAGTTATTTAATAAACAGAATATTTCTGAATTAAATCCATATGGCCAAATTAAGGCTAAAAATCATCAACAGTCACAGCTCCGCTATTTTTCTTAAATTTTACCATTCATATGTAATTCACTAGAAGGTTAATGTCCCAGTAGGTGCATTGCTAGGGAGGTGTGTGTGAAGAGTGAGTAGAATTTTTAATAAGCAGAGGTTTTAATGAAGGAAATCTGTCATTGGGTTATTAGAAAGGCATCCAGAAGTAGTATGAAGACTAATCTTCGAGCGGTTATAAGAACAGGCATCTACAGTTATAACATCTGTCAAATGACCTTTCCTAGATCAACCAGCAGATTACCCTTCGTTTTAACTTCTACAAGATTATTTTTCCAACATGAAGCATGGTTATACTGAAGGTAATCTGCCGAAGGTGCAAGAAAAAATTATTTGCAGAAATTACAGAATAAATATGCTGTAGGTGAGGAACCCAGCATGGGAAAAAAGTAATTTCTGGGTAGTTATAGGGAAAGTAATAAGTTATGTGTTCTAGCAAAGGTAACATGGAAGAGATTATATGAAATGTAATCTGTTAGCGTTATTGGGAAGATAACAGGCCCTACAAATTACCCTTATGTTATTTGTGGTGTTAAAGGAGAACTAGACTGCCAAGAGCTACCTGTCAGAGCTTTCTTCAAGACATTATAGGAGAAGGTAATCTGTCAGAGGTTACATGAAACGTAATCTGCCCGGGATTATAGAAAACCTAATCTGTTAGGGATCGAAGGAAATGAGTCACATGTAGGTTGCTTTTGTAGGAATATAGAAATATGTAATAGTCTAAGGGCTATATGTATAGTAATCTTCTGTGAATTATAAAAAAGTTAGACTGTTAGTTATAGGAAATATAATCCTATAGGGTTATAGAAAATATGCTATGACATAAATTATTATGAGTTATCAGAAAGGTAATCTGCCAGAATGTGTAGGAACAGTAATCTGCCAGGAGTCGTATGAAGCGTATCCTGCTAGATTATAGGCAAATTAATCTGGAAGGGAATGGTAATCTGCCAGAGGATATAGGTAAGGTATGCTTTTGGGTTTTGCTGGAAAGATAATCTACTGGGGACTAGGGTAGCTATGTTGTTTTCAAGGAGTTAAAGGAAGGTGGTAAACATTTGGGGGTTGTGGTAATCTGCTTATATTTTTATACTTTGGAAAGGTAATTTGTCAGGAGTCTGATAATCTTACCGTTATATAAGAAAGGTAATTTATTTAGAGTTATATGCATACACGGTCCAAAATGAGTTATTGGAACGGTAATCTGTGGGGTTTTATCAGAAGGGTAATTTGTGAGAAATTATATAAACATTATTCTGTCAGAAATTCTAGAAAAGGTCATATGATGGTATTTATAGGAAAATGTCATGTCCTAAGGGATTATTGTATAAGGTAATCTTCTGGGAGCCAACAGGAAGGTAATTATAAACAGTATTATTTATAGCACACCAGTTTATGCAGCAGCCCTGTATGGAAGTTATAGTAAACCAAACTAATTGTGACAGACAGGTTAAGGGGAACAAATTTGAGGGGTGCTGAAGGCCGTGCCCAATGAGTTTATCATATAGAAGAAGAAGAATCTGACAATCAGGTCGAGGACAAATTCATGCAGTGAGGAACCAAGATTGCAGGTGTATGAAATGGCTATGATGAAAAAAGATGAAATAGAGTAACACTAACCTTGTGTGATGAGACATAGATACACTGGTGTGGTTAGATCATTTAGAAGGTAATTTAATATGCTTTTAAGAAATAGGGATTTTTCGGGATTTTTCAAAGGAGTCCAGGAGTAAGTTTGAGAAAAGTTTTTTAAGGCAAGAGAGAGCAAACCCCAGTGTGATTTGGAAAGGAGGGTTTGAGTAATAGACAAGATTACTGGAAGCAAAGCAGTCGGGAAGGTAAATGCAAGTTAGAGAAAATATTTAGTTTTAAGTGTAGTAGTTGAGACGTTGTTACAAGGGTAAAATAAAACAAAGAATGATAAACTGTGCCAATGGGACAGAAGAGAAAGGGGGAACAAAATATGAATAATACAATTACACATACAAATACACAGACATATAGTTAATTTAAAAAAAATCTTCATATACACACCAGTGTCAAGCTTTAAGAAATATAAATACAAAATAATAATAGTGCAGAATGAAATAAGAAATAGAGTGAAATATAGTAGATATGCCAAAAAAAAAAAAAGGCACTCACGTCTTATAGAGCTACTAAAAGTTTGAATATTTTCAACATGGACAATCCTCGTCTTAGGATAAATTGCAGCCAGGGATAACAGGTGTCTTCCATGTGGTAACTCAGCAATATATGTAGATAAAAAAAAAATTTAAAAAAAATTGATCAATTGCACAGTATATAATACAATGAATTGTATATTGAATACATGAAGACATTCTACTTACAAACTCCAGAGCATGGGTCTGCTCTTGGTGTGGAGGGCTCTGGTGGTTTGATCCCCACCACAAATAAAGGTGAAGCGGGATGCCAGCTAAAAATCAGTATATAAAAAGGAGCTAAACTGTAGGACAGATAAAAGTTCACACTTAACTTAATTGACCCTGGGGCTTCATCAAAAGTTTTGAGGAAGCCTCAAGGTGAAACCTGTTAAGAGTGGTGATGAGTAGTGGGGAAATATTGGCATGAGACAGCAATTTAGACGGGATACAATATTTTTATGGTGAAGTTTGTAGAATGTTGAGGAAGGAACGGATGTGAGCAGTAAGAGAGGTCAGAGACAGATGTAAAGCTAAGGTAGAAAGGTTCTGTTTCAAGGTTCGTGGATGTACCATTGACCTGAAAGTAGAGTAACAAAGGAAGCTCTGTGTTTTTCTATGAGTGCTTTGGACACTGTTGCTTTTTTCATATAGGGCTTCTTTCGGCGCACCATTCAGAAGAACCTGCATCCCTCTTACTCCTGCAAGTATGATGGCTGTTGCATCATTGACAAAATCACCCGAAATCAGTGCCAGCTTTGCCGCTTCAAGAAATGTATCGCAGTGGGCATGGCAATGGATCGTGAGTATGCAAAAAGAAAGAAAGGGCTAGGGAGGAGGGGAACGGAAACAGAAGTTGGGAAACATTGCTTGACTAAGCAGATTATTAGACACTCACCCGCTTTTTAAGGAAGGTTGATGTAAACTTGGGTTAATGAGTTACTCAAAGTTGTAAAAAGCCTTTTTAGCGAACTGAAACCCACCCACATTCATGCCATCTTGAAATCTTTCCCAGTTGTCCTGGATGATTCCAAGCGGGTAGCCAAGCGGAAGCTGATAGAGGAGAATCGTGAGCGGCGCCGAAAAGAGGAAATGATCAAGACATTGCAGCAGCGGCCGGAACCAAGCAGTGAGGAGTGGGAACTAATACGGATAGTGACAGAGGCACACCGGAGCACGAATGCACAGGGCAGCCATTGGAAACAGCGCCGAAAATTCCTGGTAAGACAAGGAGACTCAAGGTGCAATTAAACTGATACATGTGACAAAAGGGCAGAGCTGTCTACAGAAAATATTCGGGGGCATTATCTGAATAGACACTGTCATTGTAAGAAACCATATAAGTCAAAGGAATGGCAATATTTGGGGGCGAGGGATAGTTACCCCCTTTTGGCCTGTGTTGCAGACACCCATGCATGGGAGAGGAGACAAAGAAAAGGGATGAGTTGCAGGGAGGGTTTGGTTATATTTGCAGAATAGTATCACAAATTTAACAGATTAGTTTCTCCAATGTCACCATGTTTCAGTCCTTTCAATTTGCCTTAATCAGAGACCCCAGGGTGTAGTAGCAGGTTACAGTGAAACATAACTATCTCCCACTAAACATGAAATCGTAGTGATTTCTTTAAGCAAACATCCTGTGCAGATGGAGAGGCTGTGACCCCTGCGAGAGATCGAACAACATCTGTTAATCCCCACTAGCAAGAGTGCAAGGCTGCTAGTGAGTGTGCGAGGGGAGATGCAGGGACACATATGCAATAGCATATGTATGACATGGGAGTCATATCTCATCCACTGTGCAGCATTCATTTACCTGTGCTTGTTTGTTTAGTAATTATATTTCCTGCAGTTGTTAGAAAAGGATCCATTTTTAATAATATTTTAATTCTCTGTGTATGAATTATTGCTTGTAGCTGAGAGTGACAATAGACATTAAAGGTTGGTGGCATTAGACCATATTTTACCTGTAGATCAGGGGGTAAGATTTTGTGCACCATTATGGTAGTTACTAAATCTCAGCCCTGCTATTGCCTCCTGTTATGTGACGTTCTTAACGTACAGATTTTGTTAAAATTGAGCCACAGTAGTACTGATTAATGATGATATGTTAGTTTCTAGAACTGTACGCTTGTGACATCACGTAACACTCCTTTGAGGTGTCCTTCTGTACCTCCTGGTGAACACTGATGAATAACCTTTTTTCTTTTTGACTTTGTAGTTTGCCAATGTAAGGCACATGCTATCATTCTTTTAGAGATTGTTCCCCTTGTAGTTTGCCAATGTAAGGCACATCAAATACTTTTGCAAGTTATGTGACCAATGCACATACAAGTCAAGCACCAACTACTGGCCTCTTTGGAGACCTACTCGATACATATTGTTACTTTGAAAATGAAGTGCTACTTGTCTCGTCTTTTTAATATTTGGCACGTGATACCGGTTGGCAGTCAAAGTAGCATAACTCCTGTTTGCAGTCACATTTTTGGTTTTGTTATTTGATGACAATTATGATATAAAATTATTTTATACTTTTAAGAGTGTAGATGGAAGGAGAAAGGGACAGGGGTTCCATTGAGCCATGTGGATGACTCAAGCAGACACGTTTTTCTTAAGTTCATCAGAGGGAAATTTAAAAAAAAAAAAAAACCTTTTCATCTGAGGTTTCTGTAATTTTGCATATTTTCCTAGTTAAATCATGTACACAAACTTAGTATTAATATGTAGAAAAGTTACAATTGGAAACAGACAGACTTTTAAGTCAAACAAAAGACCCACCTTAAAAATATAGAGGCGATGCTTGCTTTTGAGGAACTGTTGCTGTAATGTACTTTTTAACAACACATGCTGGTGCTTGTCTCTGTATGTAGCACAGCACTTGTCTCTATGTTTAGCATTGCATTCTGTACCAATCTCTCTCGGTTTAGTAGTATATACTGGGATATAGCTTCCTGTATGAAGCAATACAGACGTTTGCTTCTCTCTGTTACAATGTATTCTCAACAGTTCATATTGCAACCATCAGTAGCTGTGCATGCTGTGATCGTTCTCTCTTAGTAAATACATGCAAAATTGTAAAGGTCATGTACTAACAATGCTCTGTGTATAGCAATACATACTAAGGCTTTTTTCATCTTTATTAAAAGTAATTTTTTTTAAAGGCAATGGGGGGCAGGGGGAGGACAGAAAGAATCCTTTAATACGGAAAAAAAAAACTATTGGAATTTTTAGGACTATAGGCTCCTTTTAATGGTTGGACATCTAGAATGTTTTTGAATAGGAGTAGTCCGTTTATATCAGTCTTTTGAGATTATTATTGTTCTGAGATTGATATTGTTTTGTTTTTCTACTCCACCATCAAACCAATGCAGTTGTCCCATAGGCAAATCAATCACTGTAGTAATGCCTATGGTATATTTTAACTTGCCATCAGTTGGTTATGGCCTTATTGAATATATTGGGCTATTCCATGGTCATAGGAATCTTTTGAGAGGAGTGATGTCAGCCAATCCTTAAAGGGACACTATAGTCACCAGAACAACTAAAGCTTATTGAATTTGTTCTGGTGAGCAGAATCATTACCGTCAGGCCTTTTGCTGTAAACACTGTCTTAAAAGAGAAAATGCAGTGTTTACACGACAGCCTAGTGATAACTTCACTGGCCACTCCTCAGATATATGTTAGAGATCCTTCCTGGGTCATGGCTGCCTAAAATGCATCCAAACATTCAGTGTCTCCTCCCTCTGATGGAGACACTGAACTTTCCTCATAGACATTCATTGATTTAATTCAATTCAATTGAGATGCTGATTGGCCAGGGCTGTGTTTGAATCCTGCTGGCTCTGCCCCTGATCTGCCTCTTTGTCAGTCTCAGCCAATCCAATGAGGAAGCACTGTGGATCAAGCTACCACTTCTGATAATGTCAGCAGACTGCTTGTTTTTTGTTGTTGTTGAGGCAAACAGCATGCAGATCTACAGCTTCTGGCTTGAATACAGTGATATTTTGCTATATTTATAGAGGCATGAGGGGCCCAGGGGGGCTAGATGTTGGTGTTAACACTATAGGGTCACTATAGGGTCAGGAATACATGTTTGTGTTCCTGACCCTATAGTGCTCCTTTAATTTTTTTTGATGGCAATGAGAGTAGTCTTAAAGCCATTTAAATGTAGTGTTTCTACAGTGTTGTCTGTAGATAGATCCATCCATCTGAGATCCAGAAAGGTCAATAGGAGACTTGGCTCACAGTTGATCAGCGTTGGCATCGCCTTGATGTCCTGCTTCAGAAATTTCTCCCAGTAATTTCTGGCAGGCCAGGACATGGTTTCAATAAGTCCATGATCCCCAAAGAAGTTTTTATGATCTAGTGTCATGAGTATGCTTTTGTACCGAGTTACATACATTGTACAGTGGTAGAGGAAACTGTTTCTTGGCTTGAATACAAAGCCAGGTGGAGTGACAATAGTGAGCTATATTGTTTCAGGGCATGACATCTACTGAACACTGAAAACCTCCAGCAAATATTAAACCAGTTTGACATATAAACAATTTCACGTAATTAATCTATTGAAAAAGCAGTAAAGCTAGCATTGTGGAATACGATGAGGGGTATGTATAAGGGGATTGTCCGATAATTAATTGAAAATAGTTTGGCAGTTTAATAGTTTGACATCAACGTAAAGGCATGACCATATAACGATCGTGACCACTGGCCAATCTGGGTTGAAAAGTATTGTTTACCATTTTTGGACACCAGATTGTATGCCCCCTTTCAGTCCAGCGTGGTGAAGTAGTAGTTGCATGCAAACAGTTGTATAGTTCTGGGAAAGTGTGCAAGGTTACAAGTCATGTTCTTTTTCTCGATACAAAGAAAAATCGTGCTTTGGGTTAGTGAGGGGCATCTTTGGATTTTGGAGGTTCTAAATTATATACTCCTCAATGGTGGCTTTCTCAAACATTTTTTTTTTCTTTCCTCTTAAGAAGGCACAGAAGATAATCAGAATAAACCAGAGGTGTGGCCACTAGATCTTAGAATGGTCAAAATAAACCAAAGAAATACAGTATTAGAAAGTAGAAAGCAGAAAAATTATAGGGGTGTTAATCACATATAAAAGCATCATTAGAGTTAGCCACATTTAACTACATCAGATTAGACAATACAATCAGATGACACAACAAACAAAAAAGTTATTTGAGCCAGTTGAGAGACAAACAGCTTGTAAAATGCCCTGTTAGTGAATGACGCAGGCATTTCAGCTGGTGCCTGTCTCTCTGTATAGCTTACTGCTACCTGTCACATCAATTGAAGTATTGCAAGTTTGCATCTCTCTCTCTGTGAAGCAGTGAATACCTGTGCCTTTCAGTCTGGGCACAGATGTACATATTGACCCCTTTCACGCTTAGCACAGCAATGCATACTGGCACGTGTCACCCTGTAAAGAGCTGTACATATCCTTGCCTTTCGACGTGTGCACATGGTACCTGCAACTCTAATTACACCAGCACATCTCATATTGAATCCTTTCTCCGTGTGCAGTAAGATGTGCTGGGACCTGTCTCTGTGTACAGCGGTGTATACTGGACTCTGTATCTCTTTGTGTAGCTGTGCATAATTGAAACTGTGTCTCTGTGTACACTGGACTCTGTGTGTGCAGCTATACATGCTGAGGCCTGCCTCTCTGCATGCAGCAGTGCATACTGGGATCTGTCTCTCTGTGTGCTGCAGTACATACTGGGATCTGTGTCTCTGTGTGCTGCAGTGCATTCTGGGATCTGTCTCTTTGTGTGTTGCAATGCATACTGGGATCTGTCTCTGTGTGTGCTGCAGTGCATACTGGGATCTGTCTCTCTGTGTGTTGCAGTGCATACTGGGATCTGTCTCTCTGTGTGCTGCAGTGCATACTGGGATCTGTCTCTCTGTGTGCTGCAGTGCATTCTGGGATCTGTCTCTCTGTGTGCTGCAGTGCATTCTGGGATCTGTATCTCTGTGTGTTGCAGTGCATACTGGGATCTGTGTCTCTGTGTGTTGCAGTGCATACTGGGATCTGTGTCTCTGTGTGTTGCAATGCATACTGGGATCTGTATCTCTGTGTGCTGCAGTGCATACTGGGATCTGTCTCTCTGTGTGCTGCAGTACATACTGGGATCTGTCTCTCTGTGTGCTGCAGTGCATACTGGGACCTGTCTCTCTGTGTGTTGCAGTACATACTGGGATCTGTCTCTCTGTGTGATGCAGTACATACTGGGATCTGTCTCTCTGTGTGATGCAGTACATACTGGGATCTGTCTCTCTGTGTGCTGCAGTACATTCTGGGATCTGTATCTCTGTGTGTTGCAGTGCATACTGGGATCTGTCTCTCTGTGTGCTGCAATGCATTCTGGGATCTGTATCTCTGTGTGTTGCAGTGCATACTGGGATCTGTGTCTCTGTGTGTTGCAGTGCATACTGGGATCTGTGTCTCTGTGTGCTGCAGTGCATACTGGGATCTGTCTCTCTGTGTGCTGCAGTACATACTGGGATCTGTCTCTCTGTGTGCTGCAGTGCATACTGGGACCTGTCTCTCTGTGTGCTGCAGTGCATACTGGGATCTGTCTCTCTGTGTGCTGCAGTGCATACTGGGATCTGTCTCTCTGTGTGATGCAGTACATACTGGGATCTGTCTCTCTGTGTGATGCAGTGCATACTGGGATCTGTCTCTCTGTGTGCTGCAGTACATTCTGGGATCTGTATCTCTGTGTGTTGCAGTGCATACTGGGATCTGTCTCTCTGTGTGCTGCAATGCATTCTGTCTGTATCTCTGTGTGTTGCAGTGCATACTGGGATCTGTGTCTCTGTGTGTTGCAGTGCATACTGGGATCTGTGTCTCTGTGTGCTGCAGTGCATACTGGGATCTGTCTCTCTGTGTGCTGCAGTACATACTGGGATCTGTCTCTCTGTGTGCTGCAGTGCATACTGGGACCTGTCTCTCTGTGTGCTGCAGTGCATACTGGGATCTGTCTCTCTGTGTGCTGCAGTGCATACTGGGATCTGTGTCTCTGTGTGTTGCAGTGCATACTGGGATCTGTCTCTCTGTGTGCTGCAGTGCATACTGGGATCTGTCTCTCTGTGTGTTGCAGTACATACTGGGATCTGTCTCTCTGTGTGTTGCAGTGCATACTGGGATCTGTGTCTCTGTGTGTTGCAGTGCATTCTGGGATCTGTCTCTCTGTGTGTTGCAGTGCATTCTGGGATCTGTGTCTCTGTGTGCTGCAGTGCATACTGGGATCTGTCTCTCTGTGTGATGCAGTACATACTGGGATCTGTCTTTCTGTGAGATGCAGTACATACTGGGATCTGTGTCTCTGTGTGTTGCAGTACATTCTGGGATCTGTGTCTCTGTGTGTTGCAGTACATACTGGGATCTGTGTCTCTGTGTGTTGCAGTACATACTGGGATCTGTGTCTCTGTGTGCTGCAGTACATACTGGGATCTGTGTCTCTGTGTGTTGCAGTGCATTCTGGGACACGTCTCCCTGTGTGCTGCAGTGCATTCTGGGATTTGTCTCTCTGTGTGCTGCAATGCATTCTGGGATCTGTCTTTCTGTGTGCTGCAGTGCATTCTGGGACACGTCTCCCTGTGTGCTGCAGTGCATTCTGGGACACGTCTCTCTGTGTGTTGCAGACTGGGACAGGTCTCTGTATGTAGCAAGGCATACTGGGAACTCGTGAGCTGCAGGAAATACTAGTACATGTCTCTCTTTGTACAGCAATACTGCCACCTGTCACTCATTGTGAAACAATGCATGCTGGGTTCCACTTCTGTGTGTACTGAGACCTGCCTTTCTATGTGCAGCAATGCATGCTGGGAGCTGTCATTCTGTGTTTAGTCATGCATGCTGGGAGCTGTCATTCTGTGTTTTGCAATGCATGCTGGGAGCTGTCTCTCAGTGTTTTGGAATCTGTCTTTCTATGTGCAGCAATGCATGCTGGGATCTCTCTGTCAGTGTTGCAATGCATGCTGGGAGCTGTCTGTCAGTGTGCAACAATGCATGCTGGGATCTCTCTGTCAGTGCAGCAATGCATGCTGTGAGCTGTCTGTAGTGTGCAGCAATGCATGCTGGGAGCTGTCTGTCAGTGTAGCAATGTATGCTGGGATCACTGTCAGTGTGCAGCAATGCATGCTGGGAGCTGTGTGTCCGTGTGCAGCAATGCATGCTGGGATCTGTCTGTCAGTGTGCAGCAATGCATGCTGGGATCTGTCTGTCAGTGTGCAGCAATGCATGCTGGGAGCTGTGTCAGTGTACTGGGACCTGTCTTTCTATGTGCAGCAATGCTTACTGGGAGCTGTCATTCTGTATGCCGCAGTGTATACTGGGAGCTGTCTCTCTGTATGCAGCAGTGCATTCTGGGAGCTGTCTCTCTGTATGCAGCAGTGTATATTAGGAGCTGTCTCTCTGTATGCAGCAGTGCATACTGGGAGCTGTCTCTCTGTTTGCAGCAAATCTTATTGGTACCCGTCTCTTGGTGTGCAGCAATGCATGCTGGGAGCTGTCCGTGTGTCTGTGTGTGCAGCAATGCCTGCTGGGAGCTGTCCGTGTGTCTGTGTGTGAAGGAATGCTAGCTGGGACCATTCTGTTTGTGAATGTCCATACTAGTTCCTGGTACAATACTGCTACCTCGGTCTATCAGAGCATGCTGGTACTTGGTCCTGTGTGTTGCATGTAATTCTGTAATACTGGCCCTTTGTGCAGACATGCATTATACATTCGCATGCTGAACTGTTTCCATTATTGTACCTGGCTCCCTGGACTGTGCCGGATTGTGCAGGCAGTGCAATGCCAGAGTTGCATGTGTTTTGTTATATACAATATCAGGCTTTATGTCTAGCATATAAGGACCAATGTTAGAGAAGAAATCATCTTTTGATAACAGTTTTTTGTACTTTTTATACCAGTTTAGCACTTAGGCCTCTGCGTGACTCAGGCTTGTACATTTTGTCAGAGAAGGATAGAAGCAGCTGGGAGCAACCTCCCCTTCTCTGCCTCCTTCCCATGCTGCCTCTCCTCACTCCCTCCTCCCCATGTCACGTGGAAGAGACACACTCTGTTTCCTCGACTACCGTCGTTCCTTGCTGATCAGCACCCTCTGCTGAACACACAGAAAAACGACAGAAGGCAACACAACACAAAAATATCTTTAACATACTTTACTGTGGACAGGAAATATGTATACGTTTAATTAGGAACTAATTAACAATGTTTAAAAAATAACACATAAAACAGGAATTTCACATCTCATTTTTTTTTTTTATAAAAACTTTGGTTATGATTCTTACGCATTCAGCTTCCCTTGTTCAACTCTTCTTCGCTAGTCCCTTTCTCCTAAATGTCCCTTTATAACGTTTATTCTCTGTTTACTTTTACAGCCGGAAGACATTGGGCAGTCACCTATGGCCTCGATGCCAGATGGTGATAAAGTTGACCTGGAAGCATTTAGTGAGTTCACCAAAATAATTACCCCAGCAATCACTCGAGTGGTGGACTTTGCAAAGAAACTGCCCATGTTCTCAGAGGTAAGTGTATCAAATTACTTTCAAGGTTTCTCTTCTCCAAACCCACCTTTCCCCTCGAGTTGCTGTCCGTGGTACTGCAACTGGTTTTGTTCTCACCTTTGCTTACATTGTCCATTTACTTAACAGGGCTTAAAACAGGAGTGCCCAAAAGGTAGATCCCTAGATTTTTTTAAAACTACAGCTTCCATGATGCTTTCTTGTTCTAAAGTCAAGCAAAGCATCATGGGAGTTGTAGTTCTGCAACATCTGGAGATCTACCTTTTGGGAACCCCTGGTTCATAGAAACATAGAAACATAGAATGTTACGGCAGATAAGAACCATTCGGCCCATCTAGTCTGCCCAATTTTCTAAAAACTTTCATTAGTCCCTAGCCTTATCTTATAGTTAGGATAGCCTTATGCCTATCCCATGCATGCTTAAACTCCTTTACAGAATTTCAAGGCCTTAAAAGTTACTCAGCATTGCAGGCTTGGAGGACTCATGGCACACTCACTAGGGCTGAATTTTTCCCTGCCAGAGATGCATTTTCACTTGCCAATGACTAGTAGAAATTTTGAGCCCTGTGATTTAGCACTCCAGATATTGTGGTAACATCTCCCATAATACTCTTACAGCCAAATGCTGGTGAAGCATCAAGGGAGATGTAGTCTACAACATCTGAAGTGCCGAAGGTTTCCTTCCGCTGTATTTATCATACACAAAATAATTGAAAATTTGACTTTAGCCTAAAGTAGCTGGGTTGGAAAAAAATCTATAGCCCAAGCATAGTAACAGCCTGGCTATTTTGCAATTTTATTGTTGATGGATAGGTTTTCTGAATGATTTTAAAGAGACACTATAGTCACCAGAACAATTTGTTCTGGTGAGTAGAATTGTTCCCTTCAGGTTTTTTGCTGTAAACACTGTCTTTTTTTATAGAAAATGCAGTGTTTACTCCACTGGACACTCCTCAGATGGCTGCTAGAGGTGCTTCCTCAGGCAGTGCTGCACACTGTGCAGTACTGCCATTCAGTGTCTCCACTCTCTGCAAGCAGACTGTGAACTTTCCTCATAGAGATGCATTGAGCCAATGCATCTCTTTGAAGAATTGCTGATTGGCCAGGCTTGTTTTACTTGTGCTGGCTCTGCCCCTGATCTGCCTCCTTGACAGTCTCAGGCAATCTGACGCATTGTGATTGGCTCAGACCACCACCATTTCTGATTATGTCAGCAGACAGCATGCAGGTCAGAGGCAGACAGGGCAGAGCAAGCAGCTGCACTCTTGAATACAAGAAAGATTTTACTATGTTTAGGGAGGCAAGAGGGGCTAGATAGTGGTTTTACCTATATTGTCATACATGATACATTTTAGATTTTTTTTTTAATATGTAAAAAATCAATTAAAAGGTTTATCCAGGGGGCAAAGCTAGCGGCGCAACACAGTGGTCGCCATTTACAGCGGCTCCGATACACCAGCGCAAAATTTCGCAATACACCTGCACCTACAGCCCATCGGCTAAAAAGAACTGCATGTGCACACTCCGGACACCCGGCGGATACCGCAGATGCCTTTTTCCCAAACACCGGGCACGAAACGCCGCACCAAGGGACCTGGGGCCTACCACACACGCGACCAAAACCTAGCCAGGGAACTGACATCATGGCTCGGGATGAGCTCGCAATACACAGAAACTGACTTCTACACCCCGGAAGAAATGGGACGGAGATCCCACAAACCAAATCCGAGCATAGGCAGCATGCTGCAATCCCCTCCGCCTGCACGGACCCGAGCCGCCGAGGCGGTCTCTCCTGAGAGGTCCAAGGATGGGGACTCCACACATACCATGGCTATGACAGACGCAGGAAGCGCATTCATACACGCCGCTAACGACTCAGCACCGGCAACAAAGCAGGACATTCAGACCATGCTGGCTGGTCTTCAATGGAATTTACAGCACATGTGGCAAGCTGACCTGGAGGGGCTGGCGGCAAAGGTACAAATAGTATCGGCCCGAACCCAGGCCACGGAACAAGAGGTGAGAGACCTACGCCAAGACCTCACCTCTCTTAAAGACACAGTCACCCAAATGCAAACCGCACAAACAAACACCATTAGACAAGTCGCCATACTAGACGACAGGGGTAGGAGAAAGAACATCAAAATCAGGGGGGTATCAGAAGTGGTACCACTGGACGAACTGCCACACTTTATAAGGTGCTTAGTGGTCGCACTCCTCCCCAACAGACAGGCGAAACACTGTGTGTTTGACGGCGTATACCGCATTGCCAAACCACAGCAGGCACCAAAGGCCGCTCCACGCGACATCATCTTAAGATGCCAATCCCTAACGGATAAGATAGCCCTGATGACAGCCATTAAGAGAAAACACACCGAATCATCTTCTTCCAGGACCTGAGTAGAGACACTCTCTTATGGCGCAAGAGCATGCAGCCCATCACGACCACCCTGCAAGCAGCGTGGCCTCATGTACAAATGGGCAACCCCCAGGACATTATGGGTGACTAAAGGCAACCAACACTACAAGATCTCCAACTTGGGAGAAAGTCCGGCCCTGCTGACCACCCTGGGACTGTCCAACGACACCATGACACCAGCCACCAGCCACCACGCTCCCGGGACCCGCATCCTGAAACCTGCATTGGCCACATTGCTAGCCTATTGTTATTTTTATTTGCTGTTTGTTTTGCTTTGTTTTGCTTTTTTGATGACAAGCTAAGTCACTCACAACCCGTTATCATTGACCTCAACCTTATCGGTTAGAACTAATTACACAGTCCTGTGACGGTAAGGCGGTTGCCTCCCCCCCCCCCCAAATGCCCGGGGTTATAGGGCACAGTAAACCTTGGAGCCTCCACGCAGAAATACCGGCCTAGATGGGGGGAAAAAAACAAAAGAAGAGGTCATACGAAGCCCTGCGAAGGCACAAACACCCGAGCTCCAAAACACACTGCACTGTCACATAGACGAGACACAAACGCTTAGAGCTTGCTCCGCTACCTAACCTGACACATCTCGAGCCACGCAAGGAACTAAGCAACCACTGAGGCTATATCCTGTGCCAGTGCCCCAACACCGCCTAAGAGTCCCACTGGGACGACACTAGACATACATATCACACTCACCACTGGCACAGTCAGATCCCCCGCTAAAACTACATAGCCCTTGCTAATATAAAATGTGCACAGCTCAACTCGGCCCAATGAGACAAACGAAATGTGAATGTACCTCATGCATATGCTGTTGTGGCACCCTTACTTATGTCTGTACCGCTGAAATTGCACCAAAAATAAAGAATTTAAAAAACAGAAGGTTTATCCAGAAATATGAACTCATTTGGAGAGCTTATCCAACAACATTAACTAAGGCCTTAATGTCCATGAGTAAAACATAATACCAGGACTTGATGGCACTTTGTGAAAATGTTTGCAGCTTTTATGCAGTGTGCATCTTACACTTGCCGTGCCAGTGGACATTACAACAATGATTGGGCTGTCTGTATGGCTAAATGGAGCATAATGCATCTGAATTGTCCCCCCTGAGACATCCTTCCTACCCATGCAAGCTTCGGTTTGTCTAACCTACTTGTTTGCAGTGCTTCATAGTGATTTGCCTTTTATTTCGAAGCAACAGCTTTCTTAATTTCTAACTAAATAATATCACTTACATTCTGATCCAGTTGCTCATACCACCTAGAAATAAAATTTCCATCTCCATGCATAAAGTTGCATCCTTTCAAATAGCACCAATGATTGTGCCAATCAAATGACAGGAAAACCTTTTTTTTCTCAAGCAGAGTGGACAACCATTCAACACAACATTTAAATACTGAGCCTTCATATCCTAGAGTCCCAGGGAAACTTTCACAGATCTCCTGGGGTCATGCTAAAATGGTCCCCATTGTAGCAGAGACTGCCTACTTCTGGTTACACGGTTATACAGTGTGGCACTCTATTCCCTTAGAGGGACATTACACTTCCCAAATAATGTTTATATAAAAATAATCAGTATTTAGAAGATATACTCCAAATGAAAACATGCATGAGTTTAATTGTGCGTTTTTTCATTGTAATTAAAACACAACTTGCAAAAGATGCAGTTCTCTTGTATGCTGCCTTTGCAAGCCAAGCCCTTCCCTTCTAACCCCCTCCCAGCCTGTCCAATCACAGACTTCCCAACGCAGCCCAATGAGAAGTCTTTGCAAGGCAGATGCTCTAAGCGATCTCCTGCCTCTCGACAGCCATTAGCAAAAGGTTAGTCTTTCGAAAATTAATTCAAGCGTGCAAATTCACTAAAGCAGTCAGAGGAAACTGAGTTCTCTAATGTTACGCAAAGAGTGATACATTGTGAAGACTTTATGCGGGTAAGCAACTATTTTGTTGCTACCCACAACTGTCTCTCGCTGCCTTTGTTTAGCCGAGCAAGCCACCCATGCAAAAACCTTTGCCTCACAAAAGCCTTACTATATTTTCAAAAATACTGGTCCAAATTAAAATGATACTGTCTGATTTCCTTCACAGGGGCTGAAATAGATTGCCTCCGTTCATTTGGTGCCATAGTTCAGTAATGGGTTCAAGAAAGAGACCGTTTTTTTTTTTTATCCCATGTAATTCAGCCTTTCTGGGACAGGGTTTCATACTACATCCAAAAGTTGTTGTGACAACCAGGTGTGAGACTTGTAGATGTCCTACTGGTTCGTGTCCTCAAACTAGCGTGGAGAAATTCTGATGCATTCAGATATGTCACTACTACAACCCAATATCAAATAAAGAGAAGACTACACTAGCCAGAGGATATCACAAGATACATTTCTATTGAAATATGCACCTTTAGTAAAATGAAAAAGAAAGTGGGAAAGAGTAAATTTTGAAAATAATACATCATCAGAGGTGAACATCAAGCAGGTGGCTAGAGATATGGAAAAGTGGGAAGGCAGCATGTAAGATGGATGGGGAACGCCGTGGAATCAAAGAGATAAAGCATAAAAGAGAAATGTGAGAGAGTGATGAAAGTGAGGGATAGAGACATTGTAAAGTAAGAGACGGCAGAAAGAAAACTGGAGATGGGGTGACCAATGGAAAAGTTAGGGCAGAGGTAAAGATTCCAATTAAATGGGTGGTGGTATTAGAAGGAAGAAGATAAGATGGAAGGTGGTAGAACTTGGTAGAAAAAGGGGATCGCAACAAATGGGAGGACGTGAGACATCACTTGTAATATCACAACCTCTCAAGTTATCAGTACAGATCATGATGCTGCATTCAATTAGAATATGCTGTCTAATGTCATGCTAAGGCTTCAGTTGGGTGACTAACCACGAACGTTTAGAAGGATGCAAACCCAATTTGCCAGTGATGTCATCTATCTGACAGTTATATCACCTTTACTGTTGCAGTCAGTCTGCACATCATCAAGTGGTTATATAATTCCAACGGCCTGGGAAATCTAACCCAGACCACCAGCCAATGTTTTAGTAGTTATGATGCAGTCCACATTATTAGTAGATAAATCACAATCTTATGTCTGATCTCAATCCGCCTGTTAACAGCTGCCAATGAGCCATTGCCAATTGTTCTGACACTTTTCAGAATTACTTTTTTTTTTTTATATAATTCTTTATTTTGTAATGACAGAGGATATCACATATCACAGTTGTACGGCTTATGCCAAAGCCTATGCATGGTTTGAAAAAACAAAACGTGCATTTGGGTCAAATAGTGCATGTGGTCCTTATTACGTATCATGTATGACATTTGTTTAGCATTACTTTTACCAGTATCGGGTGGGTTTAAAATGGCAAAACGTATGAGTTATTGATGCTTCAACAGGACCATCTAAAATCTAGCAAGTTCATCACTTCAAAGAACTCCTAACTAATACCCCAAATGTTTGCACATGAGAAGAATGAACAACGTTTATACATCTACTGAATTGATGACACGAACAAAGCACGGCTAAAGAAAAACTGTCTCCCTCCGCTCTCCCACCATGATCTTATTAAAGATGTGGGTGTTACATTTTTGTAACAGCAACCTCTGATATGCACGTGCTTTTCCTTTGCTCTTTGTTGATATGCCATGCTTGGGGACACTTCCCAAAGCAGGGCACATCTTTTCCATGTCACGTCATTTGTTTCCTCTACTCCCTATTCGAAGCTAGGAGCACCAGCTAGGGAGTAACCATAGCAACCACATTGCATGCGCTGTGGTTGCTATGGGTAGATAGCAGATGGACCTCCTGGGAGAAGTCTCTTCCTGTCTCTCAGTTCCCTGGCATTAAATGTCTGCTGAGGAATTGAGACTGATAAAGAGCAAAACTAATTTTGCCTGTGACAGGTTCCCTTCACTTGTTAGTCACTTAAACCAGGTAAAGGACAAATAAGCACTGTAACTAAAATGCTATGCAGTGGAATTGATAACATAACAAATACACAGGAGCTCAATGTCTGAAAAGTCAGTTTGAACACCGTAAAGAACCACTCACACTGCACAGCCCCAGTGAAACGTAATAGGTTCATTACACACCTGTCGCTTATTGGCATTATCAGTGCACTGGGCTGTCTGTAACCTTCAACCTCTGTTGTAATCAAAAACCCCTCGTAGGTGCCAGTGCCAATTTCTTTGTCGTCATCCTCTATGTCAGCCTATTGAGCTCAACAACATGAGATTAACCGTTAAATAGCAGGTCAGGCCTGGTATTAACACAATAATGGTTTCTGACTTTCGTGACGTTACCAGCAGAAAATTGGTTTCTTAAATTTGTATTGTGATCTATTTGATAACTATCCTGCCCTACAGGATGAAAGTCAGAAAAACATTATCGACTAGTGTGGGATTGTAATGCAGGTCTGTGTTGGTAAAACTGATCTATAACTAGGCAGCATCCCTCGTTTTCTATAAATTTCCAGACAGTCTTTCTGCAAGGAGAAAAAAAAAATTTAAATTATAATTTCTCATTATTACCTGAATTGCCCCTAAACAAAATGAGGCTACATAACACATAGAGATTATGAATTTTAATAATATTGACTATTGTCAAATAATCCTCGAGTGAGAAACCTACAAACATAGCCACTTGTATAACACATCCCTCTAAGTGTTCCATCACAAGGATAAATACAACAAAAATATATACAGACAAAAGTGCAAACATGCATAAGATATAAATAACAAAAGAGATAAAACAGAGGAAAAAACTCACAGCTGCTGATATACTAACTAGGTCTTCTGAGTATGATTCCAAACAACATAAAAACACAAGGTAGTGTATAGTAAATGTATTATTAAAGGGACAGTCTAGGTATCATAACCATTCCATGTCATTGTTCCCTATGTTTAGTGTTAAACTATTTTGAGCAGTTTGCCACTGAATTGGGATTCCTGACCACCCTCGGCCCAGCAATCACTAGAGGCATGCCTAAGGCAGACATTACACCCTTCCTTAGTCATAGCAATTCATGCCAGCCATTGGTGACTGTGATATGGTGGAATTGATCAACTGACACTCTCAACCAATCACTGCCGCACATTGCACTCCGGCTAATTCTTCTACATCAGCTTGAGTAGTGTAGAGGGAATAGGCTGCTGGGGGCTTTTGTTCAGCATAAAACCATTCAAAAACAGTTTATCACTTACCAGAATGATGGGGCCAGGGGACTCCAGACACTAAAACCACTTCAATGAGATGAAGCACTTACTGTGCTTGGAGTGTTCCTTTAATAGCCGTCAGGAATATAGCTATCACAATGAACATAAACATTGTAGTCAAGGTGTTTTTAATAGATTCTTTCTACATCCTATGTCAGAATTATTCTCTCCATTTTCCCATTTAGCATGTGATTCCCCTATGTATAGTATGCAATATAACGGCCAGTTGGCTTTTCTGTTATATCTGAAATGTCCTCATTTCACAAGTATGCTTACCACACTGTTTTGTAAACCTTAATCAGGAACACTATCAAAGAAGATAACTATCAAGATGTAAGATTCGTACCGTTATATTTGGAGTCATTAAACTAACTGTCATCATAAAGTATCTTAAACTAATATTGCCAGCAGATTATTATTGTTTAAATACCTCCAATAGGTGTAGAGGTGACAAACTTCAAACCTTACAAGATAATTACTGGTAAAGAAGGATAGTTACATCTGGCACAGATTCTTAGCCATAGTCCTCAAAAGTACGGTGCTAAACCCAAAGTTGGGCTATATCTCCCCATTCGCAAACTATACAATTACATTGCACTTCTCTGATATATCATTGATTGGATACAGCTAATAAACTTAGGATAAATCTACACTAAAAGATTTCTAATGTCTTTTAAAAGAACTCTATGGTGTCAGGAATACAAACATTTATTCCTGACACTATAGTGCTGGTGTGGCAGTTTCGGTCACCGGACTCCCTGCCAGAGCAGTTAAAGGGCGTTTAAACTCTCCTTTTCTCCCATGCTGCACGAATTTCGCCACAGCTGGTACTACCTCGCTCCACCTCCACTTGATGATCTCAGCTAACTCAGTGCTTTCTGAGAGGAAAGCATTGTGAGGCAGTTGCACATGCGCGGCAAAACGCTGCGATGCACCAGTCATTATCTCCTCTTAGAGGTGCGTTGAATCAATGCAGAGCAAGGAGACCCTGAACCTGCACATTTTGCAGCACTGACCCCGGAAGCACCTCTAATGGCAGTCTAGAAGTGTTACTAACCAGCAGTGTAAACAATGCCTTTGCACTGAAAAGGCAGTGTATACATTAAAAGGCCCTCAGGGACATGCTCTACATTACGCTGTAGTAGTTCTGGTAAATATAGTGTCCCTTTAACCACTAAACTATTCTATATCCTTAGAATGGACTAACTTAATACCTTGACAGCAAAATAAAGATTTGGTAATTATATAAATAAGTGTTTCCAACTCTGGGAGTCATACATACTTTGTTTATAGTTGACTGAATGTTGCTTTCTTTCTCCTGTGTAGTAGGAGTTATCATGCAAAATTATTAGGAAATTTGATCTACACATTGGAGCTAGACTATGTATAATTGTATAATCAACATATATGTAGATAAACTAACACAACGGCCTCAATTTAATATTTTTGGATAAGCTTTTCAAATTATTTAATATTTTCATATTTTTATATATTGTTATATGTGATTTTATTTTTTTTGTTGTTGAAATTTTAATATTTGAGAAAAAAAATCATTTGAAAAATGTCTCTAAAATACGAAATCATTTGGAAATCTTATCTAAAAATATTAAATTGAGGCCGATGTTGGTAAAGGGTACCTTACAATCTGAGATACCTCTAAATGAATAATACAAACTATGTCCCCTCTATTCACAGCTGCCCTGTGAGGATCAAATTATCCTGTTGAAAGGATGCTGTATGGAAATAATGTCTCTCCGTGCAGCTGTGCGTTATGATCCAGATAGCGAGACCCTTACACTGAGCGGAGAAATGGCTGTAAAGCAAGAGCAACTGAAAAATGGGGGTCTGGGTGTGGTGTCCGATGCCATCTTTGACCTGGGAAGATCTCTTTCTGCATTCAACCTCGATGACACAGAGGTCGCTCTGTTGCAAGCTGTCTTGCTCATGTCCTCAGGTAAATTTAATGCCATCATGCTGGTAATGCAATACAAATACAGTGTGTGAGTGAATCTAACAGCATTCTATTAAATGGCTTATTGACTTGGTGAGTGGATTGTGTTTTTGCTCTGTGTGAGTAGAATGCCTCTCCAGTGGAAGATGATTGCTCTTGCTGTGTGAGTAAAATGCTCATTCTATTTAGGGAAAAAGTGATCTTGCTGTGTGTGGGTAGAATGCACTTGCTGTGTGTAAATTGAATGATCTTTCTACTTGTAAGTAGAATGTTTTTAAAGTAAATTTTCCTTTTTTTTTTCTGTGTGTAAGTCGAATGCTCTTGCTGTATGTCAGTTGAGTGTTTTCTTTTTGCATGACTTTATTGCTGTATAGACCAAGTCCTTGTGCCGTGTGTTACCTGAATGCTCTCACTAAGTGTGCGCCGAATGGTTTCACTATTTGTCCTGAATGCTCTCACTGTGTGTGCCGAATGCTCTTCCTATGTGTGTGCTGAATGCTCTTCCTATGTGTGCACTGAATGCTCATACTGTGTGTCCTGAATGCTCTCCCTATATGTGTGCTGAATGCTGTTACTATGTGTGCGCTGTATTTTCTCTATGTGCTCTAAATTCTCTCTGTGTGTGCGCTGAATGCTATCACTTTGTGCACTGAATGCTATCACTGTGTGTGTGCTGAATGCTCTCAGTATATGTGCGCTGAAAACTCTCACTATGTGCACGATGTATGCTCTCACTGCCTGTGTCTTGAATGCTCTCACTGCGGTTATTTTGAATGCTCTCGCTGCATGTGTCTTGAATGCTCTCACTGCGTGTGTCTTGAATGCTCTCACTGCAGGTGTCTTGAATGCTCTCACTGCGTGTGTCTTGAATGCTCTCACTGCGTGTGTCTTGAATGCTCTCACTGCGGGTGTCTTGAATGCTCTCACTGCGGGTGTCTTGAATGCTCTCACTGTGGTTATTTTGAATGCTCTCACTGCGTGTGTCTTGAATGCTCTCACTGCGTGTGTCTTGAATGCTCTCACTGCAGGTGTCTTGAATGCTCTCACTGCGTGTGTCTTGAATGCCCTCACTGCGTGTGTCTTGAATGCTCTCACTGCGGGTGTCTTGAATGCTCTCACTGCGGGTGTCTTGAATGCTCTCACTGTGTGTGTCTTGAATGCTCTCACTATGTGTCCGCTGAATGCTCTCTCTGTGTGTGCACTGAATGCTCTCACTATGTGTGCGCTGAATGCTCTCACTATGTGTGCGCTGAATGCTCTCACTGCGTGTGCATGAATGCTCTCACTGAATGCTCTCACTATGTGTCAGCTGAATGCTCTCTCTGTGTGTGCACTGAATGCTCTCACTACTGTGTGCGCTGAATGCTCTCACTATGTGTGCGCTGAATGCTCTCACTGCGTGTGCACTGAATGCTCTCACTATGTGTCAGCTGAATGCTCTCTCTGTGTGTGCACTGAATGCTCTCTCTGTGTGTGCGCTGAATGCTCTCTCTGTGTGTGCGCTGAATGCTCTCACTATGTGTGCGCTGAATGCTCTCACTATGTGTGCGCTGAATGCTCTCAGTATGTGTCCGCTGAATGCTCTCTCTGTGTGTGCACTGAATGCTCTCACTATGTGTCAGCTGAATGCTCTCTCTGTGTGTGCACTGAATGCTCTCACTATGTGTCCGCTGAATACTCTCACTTTGTGTCCGCTGAATGCTCTCTCTGTGTGTGCGCTGAATGCTCTCTCTGTGTGTGCACTGAATGCTCTCTCTCTCTCTCTATATATATATATATATATGAGCTGACTGCTCTCACTACATGTGAATGCTCTTGCTATATACTAGTTGCATGCCTCCTTTGTATGTCAGTAGAATGTCCTTGCTACAAATTGCTTGTTACATGAATGTACTCTTCCCTGTGTGCGGAGAATACATGTCCTGTATTGTGAGATTAATGTTTATGTTGTGTTAGTGTGGAATGCTCTTATTGTGGTTAGAATGCTTTTGTTGTGTGAGCATGGCATATGTTTGCTGTGTAAGTAGAATCTACTTTTGCAAAGTGGAATGTTTCTTTGTCTGATTAGAGGGTCATAGCCATATTTTAGAGCAATGCACCTGCTGAATGTGAGTAAAATGCACTTGCTGTGTGTCAGTAGAATGTTCTTGCTGTATGTAAGTGGAATTCTCTTGACGTGAGTGACTAGAATGCTCTTGTGTGTAAGTGAAATGATTTTGCTGTGTGTGAGTCAAATTCCCTTGTGTGTGTGTGAGACAAATGTTTTTGCTGTGCGTGAGTTGAATATTCTTGCTGTGTGTGAGTCGAACATTATTACTGTATGAGTAGAATGCTCTCGTTGTGTGTGAGTGGAATGCTTTTGCTCTGTTTGAATTGAATGCTCTTGCATTATGTGAAGAAAATGATCTTGCTGTATGTGAGTTGAATGCTCGTGCTGTGTTTGAGATGAATTTCCTGCTGTGTGTGAATGGAATGCTCTTATATTCTGTTAATAGAATTATATTGCTGTGTGTGAGTGGGGTGTGTTTTCTGTGTGTGAATGGAATGTGTTGGCTGTATGTGAGCAGCATGTTATTGCTGTGTGTGAAATGCTCTTGCATTATATGATTAGAAGTGTGTGTGTGTGTGTGTGTGTGTGTGTTTTCTCGTCGTGTGAATAAAATAAATGATTTTGTTTTGAAATTTCATTTTGTTAGTGAGATCTCTGTTTAGTAGATAGCATTTCCTTTTCATAGGCGAGTGAATTTATCTTTTAGACAGTGAATGCAGTTGCCTTCGAAATGATGCTCGAGTGGGACATCTTTGCTATAACAGAAAAATTGCTTTTTAGTTTAGTTTTCGCTAACTGACTAAGTCTAGTTTGTGTTTGTGACCTTGACGTATACTGAGAGATATCCTACATCCAGCAATAAAATTCCACAACTTTCAGTTGCTAAGTTAAAAGCATGACATTTTATTTTTCAGTTTTTATTCATGTCTTCTTTTAAATGTAGGTCTTTGCAACTCCTTATTGTAGGTATTAATAGATTAAAAGGAAATTATTGTTTCAGATTTAGGACATCATCCCTCTATGTTGGCTCTTTAATATTATTACTCTTAATAATTGTCTCTTCCTCAGACCGTACGGGTTTAATCTGCACAGACAAGATAGAGAAATGTCAAGAGACGTACCTGCTCGCCTTTGAACACTACATCAATCATCGCAAACACAACATTCCCCACTTTTGGCCTAAGCTCCTGATGAAAGTGACAGACCTGCGCATGATTGGGGCCTGCCACGCCAGCCGCTTCCTGCACATGAAGGTCGAGTGCCCCACAGAGCTCTTCCCTCCGCTCTTCCTTGAGGTCTTTGAAGACCAGGAAGTCTGAAGGGCATTGCATGGGGTGGAGAGGAAAGGAAGTTGCTTGGCTTTATTCCTACCTGACCTCCATGGCAGACTCTTGTGTCCCGAGGAGGAAAGGGAAAGCTGCCATCATGATGACACGGACAGCCCAGGAATGGAAGTTCTAGCTACCATCTTTGTACATCCATTCAATCCAAGAAAAGTTCTTTGGTGTCCATCTTTGTTCACTGTGGTGAACAATAAATGGAGACATTTTGGCTGCAATCTTGGTACACGCCCTGGTCCCAGGAATCCAAGTCAATCTCCATATTTGTAGTATCCTGTGACACACCTAAAAGACCTGGGAACGAAAGCTTCTGAGACTCACAACGACTCCCTGTCTGAAGCATCCTGGGTGGCTGTTGAATAACATTTCTGATGTGGGAGTGATGCAAATAATAAGCAAGGCTAAAAGCCCTACTGCACTCCCCATATAAAAAAAAAAATGCGTGCATCTATGTGCGTGTGTGTATATATCTACAGATATATATATGCACACCTACATATATGTACAAAATAGAAAGAGCGTTTTCTAACAAGGCAGCACTTGGTCTTGTTGAGCTGAGATCCTTTGCAGACTCAGGAGCAACCAAACTTTTTAATTTCAGCTACTCTCTTGGCCAAAGCTACCCTGTAAACAATATGCAGTCTCTAGATAATGAAGTGGGACTATCCCCTTCGTGGGCATGTTAAAGGATCTGTCCGTATCTCCCATTCCTCGAGCCGAGGTCCTGTTGTAGATCAGAGCATCAACCTATTGCTTACTGGGTGCAAATATTGGACAATGTTTGATTATGCTTGCTCTCTGTATCTGTACATATAATGTGCGTGTGTACGTACACACATATGCAACTTTTTTCTTTTTCTTTTTTTGTTAAGTGCCAATCACGTGCAGCACTAGTGCGAGAGAACTGAAGCATATGTACGTTTCGCATTGCAGTACAGAGACTATAGCATATTGCTTATCAACAAAGCAATACATAATCACAATGTAATATATCTCGCACAATCAGATGTGTTTCGTGCCCTGGGCTCTGAGTTCTAATCTGCAGGAATCATTGACCCTCCCTCATTGCACACATTATGTCAGACTGGGAGGGGTGGTGGGAATGCAGAGATTCCATGCGTGACGCTTGCTTAGACGCGCCACATCGTACCCATGCACAGAATTCCCTCCATGGCACCCTCGGTTGATAGGAACTAGCCCCATCCACCCTGACCTTACACCCTTTTTAGGGTTTGAAAGTGGCACACCAAAGTCTCTCCTAAACCCCACCCACTTCTGTATCCCCCATACTGCCAATGCGGAAAGAAAGAGAAATCCCTGCAGCTACGCAAACCAAAAAATGTTCATAAGAAGCACTTTTAATTGCCAGATTGCATGTGTTAACCCTGCTTTTGCTGCTCTCCTTTATTCTATTCTAGATCTATGTCAATGAGATTTTACATGGCTTTATGAATATTCTGGCAGCCTTATTGTACAGCCAGCTACGTCAATTATCACCCGTTTTTGGGTCACTATTGCCAATTGTTCTACATGTCGGGGCAATGCCATGTTTTTAATGTAGACTATAACTCCCTCTACCCTTTCCCCTCTTCTTGCACTTTGCAAAAAGCACTTGTTACCAATGATGGTTTCCAATTTATGTTTTAATGTTAGTTTTCCTAATAAGCTGAATGAAAGAAGCACTTAATTTTTTTGTAGATCCCATTTTTTATTTCAATATTGCTCCACTCACTGTTTTTTTAATGTGTATGGTGCTGTTTGAATGTACTTATTGGGGACATTAGTGTCCTGAGGGCACAGTAATATCTTTAAAATGCAAACTGTGTTCTCATAGCTAGCACTTCCCTGAAATCTACTGGAATTTGGTAGAAAACAAATAAAAAATAAAAAAAATAAAAAAATAATTGTTAGAATAAACAATTTGCAGCTAACTAGGTCTGCAAAAGGGTTAGCAATATAAGAATGTTTGGCCATTCAAATGAAGCACTTAATATGTTACCCTATCCCCAAACAAGCTCAGCTGTCCCCCAATATCTGATTTAAAGAGATATTAGGGTTAAGCAATTTCCGCAGGCAGATACCCCACCCTCTTTTTTTACCCTGAAAGCCAAATTAACAAAGCACTTAATAAAATGTATATATTTTTTTCTTTTTATAAAACCCAGAAATTTTTGGAAGCGAGGTTGGCTCTGCAAAGGGAATTCTGTGCCAGAAGCTTGGGTTATCAAAGTTAGACTTGTTATAAAATTACAGCAGAGTGTGCGTTTTAATGGGCTCCGTCCCACCTTGGACCAGAGAGAATTAGAATCGGCATTTTTGGAAATGAAATCAAATACTTTGTCACCCCTAGTTTGTTAATTTATATTTCTTAAAATTGGGTCATTTGCGTCCTTTTTTATTTTTTTTAAACAAAAACACAAAGCAAGCTAGTATTTATCTCTTCGATTGTCATGCTTTAAACCTACATTGTAATTTATGCTTTCTCCACCCATCAAACAAATGGTTTAAAGCAGACAAAAATCACAAGATTTCTGAATGATGGAGTACCGTTTCTCTCTGGTTCTGGTTGGGACAAATGGTGTGTACCCTAACAGCGTGAAATTTTGCTCGTTGTCTGTCTTACCTCAGCTGTAAAGGAGAGGAAGGAGGGGGGAAAAAGGATAATTTTTTTTTTTCTTTCATTATTTTACTAATTCTTTAATTTTTATTTTTAATAGTGTTTTTGGTTGTTGTTTTTTTTTTTTTTTTTAATTCTTGCTCACAGACTCCCCTGGCAGCCTGCCTTTCGCACTGCCGGCTGCCTGCGTGGGACTGAGCACACAGCTATTTCTCTTAGCTTAACGTCTGCGGACTGGACGTTAAAAAGAAACAAGGTCCGGTCCACACAGTGGACATTAAAGATTCCCAGGCCTTTAAGACCTGGCTAATTTACCCAGAATCCCTTTCGCCTCTGCCCCTTGTCTGTCTCTTTGTCTGTGCAGACTCGTGTGCCTAGCACACTCTAAATATGAAAACAAAATATGTATATATGTGTATATATGTGCTGCTGTGGTTTCACCTCTGAGGTGGCTGCACTTGTTATTTTTGTTCTCTCCATCTTGTAATCTATTTTTTTTTTATATATATATATATATATATTTAACCCATTTGCTGCCACATTTCTTTATGGCAACCAAGGGGTTAAGAGGTCTTACCATTTTCTTATTTTGTATGGCTTAAGTGGAAGTTAAAATGGAGGACGGCTCAGCAGGCGACTTATTGACTGTAATGTTGCCATTAGCTAGCAGTACTGAGTGTCTCACTATATCCACATACATCCCGTTGCCTAATCAACCATTTAAGGACTGGTATTGCAGGAATATGTGTTAAAGGAGGGCTTTTGAGGTATTTGCCGCAATCTGAATAAGCTTGAAGCTTCTCCCCCACCACTTAAATGCAACACAGCCCTTGTTCCTGTAATGCTTAAGCCCTTCACATGCCTGAGGATCTTGCACTACGTTGCTGGTCAAGATGCCATCCCAATAGGATAACGATGCGGGAATGTGAGGATCTAGATGGTGGTTGTGGGAGCCACACAACTGGGAATAGAGTACCTAATGACTTGCAGGGCTATCCAATGACATTTCTATCAATGACAACACAATACCTGAACCTTCACCAGCTTCTGATGGAAAGATTTCTCCTTTGCCACAGTTGGGTATCCTTTAATCTTTTTACGGCACACACTTCAACAGCTTGGATTGACACATCTTTCAAAGAGGTGGCAGTAGGCCATCCTTAATCTACAACGTTGTAGCCATTGTGTGCTCACTTTACACTCTCAGGTTGAGGGTACTACTCCATCCTTCATCAGTAAGGACAGCCTTTTCAATGGCGCAAAAAAACCCAAACACAAATAAAATAAAGGACCTGCCTGCATCATGACAGAACCATCTGGCTTTTTCAACGGATGCTCAATTTCCTAGCTGCTAGCTGTGTATAAACTCTTACAAAATTGTACGCTAACAAACTTTCAGTGATATTGGTTCTCCACCAATCCTTCAACACTACATATTTTATTCTCTGGGACACATTTTCCGTTTCAACAATAACTTATGCAGAGGAAATACTGCAACTGACAGCGATAATGTGCGGCAACCCTCCGTACACCTGCAATGGAGGGAGCGCGATGCCGCACTCATCCTCGCACCTCACGCACTCACACTTTACTCAGATAATACAAAACAACAGGAAGATGTTTGTTTTCATTTTTTATTTTCTCATACGCTCATACCTCAAACAACAACAACCCCAGTCCTCTTCTCTAACTCCTGCCGACCTCACTGTTCTGGTTTAGGGTGAGAAACTGTTGGGTATATTTGCTCACCAGCTGAAAAGCCAAAAAAAGGGTGACTTCACGAAGACCCTTTAACTGGACTGGACAAACAGGAGAGTCACTGAACTGGAGCATCTGCAAGGAAAAGGGGAACAATACGGATATCAGGACACCCCTTACTTATCATACCTGCAGTATAACAAACCAACCTCTGACCATTTCAGCCACAGAAGATCATAAAGACCTCAGTTCTGTGCCACCCCCTTCCCTCTTACCCCATGAAAATCACACAAAGGTTGTTTTTTTTTTTTTTTTAAATGTTAAGACTTGTAGATCACCCCATTAAGTAAGTTTGTTGGTTTTGTTTTGTTTTTCATTTTGTTTTTCTTTCTTTCGTACTTTCTTTTTTTATTTTTCTGGTTCTGTCTTTTTAAGATAACCCCATCTTTGCTAAATAGTTTCCAAAGGGGTTAAAAAGTTGCTAGCCATAATTTGCAAAAGAGGTAACATTATAAGGGAGAGTGAAAAATATATTTTTTTGATATTTTGATTTTTTTTTTTGTTTCCAACCATGTTTCTTATGTTATTAGGACAGGAGGTGAGGGCTCTCCCTGCCACCACCTTTTTGTAGTTGCTTAGTATTTTTAAGAATGGTTTTGTGGGGAGGGTATATCTTGACCCTTTTTTGAAATTCTTTGCTTTCTTAGGTATCAGGGCAGTGTAGTCCACAAGCTTTTCTTATTATTTGGAGGTCATTTTAGGGGTAACCTATCAAAATATTGCACAATTTTTCATGGCAGTATTGTGGTGCCGTAAGAGATCAACTCTTGTCTGGCCTTACTGCCAGACACAAATAACACTTTGTGCAAAATGATACTTACATTTTGTGAAATGCTTTCATTTGTTCATTTGAAGGTTTTAAAAACATGGCAAAAAGTAGTGTTTGATTACTTGCAGTATGTAGTATTTCCTGCCTCCATTTTCATGTACTTTATTGCAAAATAAGATCACTGGAAGGAGACATATTGCTTGTGTAGCCGAACGTATAAAAGCAAGCAGTTGTGATAGTATTCTTTCTAAAATTGTATGTTTACTGAGAGTTCAGTGATGACGTGTGTAAAAATTGCCTCGATTATTGACGTTAGAAGCAAGATGGCTGCTTCCAGTGATCAGAGCTTGCTAAATTTATTCATGAATAACAAAAAATTGCAAATGCACACAAGAAAAATACCAGTGTCGGGGGACACTACATGTTCTGTAAAGTAATTATGTTGATTTTCTAATTTGGGTATATGATCTCTTTAATGGGAGGTTTTGGTATTTATTGTCAAGATATATTTACTCTTGCGTTAACCTACATAATACTCCCAGATGCCCAAACTGGGATACCACATGTGTATATAGTTAACTTTTAACTATATGTACATACATATATTTTGTTTGAAACTGCTACTACACAAAAGTCCAGTAACTAACTGTTATGTATATTTATAGCAGTGAGACGAATCCTTGAGTTCATCAGTGACCTTAAATCTCTCCAGGGCAGGGGTAGGCAACCTTTAGCACTCCAGATGTTTTGGACTACACCTCCCATGATGCTTTGCCAGCATTATGGGATATGTAGACCACACCATATGGAGTCCAAATATTGCATACCCTTGCTCAAGGGTAATGTGCACAAAGAAATTATTTTTTCCAATTTGCAAAGGTTTTTCTTTTTTATTGATGGGCGGGGAGCAACATAATTTGTTATGCTGGTTTGGGTTTTTTATTTTTTTTTCCACATTTCCAGTTACCTATCCTGGCTTGGAGTTTCTTTCCTTCTCTTTTCATTTATTCACTAATCTGAAAATTGCCAACCAAATTGCAAAATTTAATGGACAATGTCCAACTTTTTTTTTTTAATCAAGACTTTTTAAATTCATATTTGAATTTGCTACTTAGTGAATAAAGCAATCCGTATTTAATAGGTTCCCCTTAATTATTCAGATCTCTGTGTAGAATAGGGTTCGATATAAGTAAACCACCAATCTATAGCAGGGAAAAGATTAAAACACTCAGTCATAAGGGGTGTCACAATCACATGGTTAAAACGAAGCTCAATTTTAGATTTATTTTTTTTCTCCAATCTTAGGTTTGTATATTTAATATGAAACGCAAAAAAATAGCTATGTTGTTTTGAATATTTCTTTTTATTTTCAATTATTATTTGAGTCCCTTAAAGAGAAACAGTCACTTTTCAGGATATGTAGTATTCCGTTTTCTTATCCCCTGTATTTAACAAATACTTTATTTGTGATGTCTGAAAAATAAAATAAAATCCACACCGCTATATTTAGGTCCATCACGTAACTGAGCACCGCCATCTTGGCTCCTGGGCAATCATTTTTATAATCTGTGCGCTTTGCACGTGTCAGTCAAAGAGTTAAACCAGAAACATTGTTTCTATCCTTCCTAGCTTTGCCAGGACTGAATCGCTTTGTGATGTGGATTACTGAATCTTTGAATGAGTAGTTTAGGCACCGTAGCAACTGCATCCTATTGTAGTTGGCCCTATCCTATGGTAAGTTCTTAAACTTTTAGTGAACTGTTTAACACTTAACTGGAAACCCATGGTCCATCTAGTATGCTGGATATTGCTAACTCAGAAGTTCTCACTATGCTTTAGAATAATCAGTTTTCAAATCAATAAAATTTTGTCCCTATTTGGACGCCATTCGTTGGCTGAGAGATTCCGTTAATGCTCTTAAAATGGATATTGCTAATATGGAATAGGAATTTTGGCTTTAGCGATATCCAAAACACCGGGGCCTGAGTGTAACCAGGTAAGTGTCAGACTGTTCAAAAGCAGTATTGACTACTTACCATGACGTAACTCGATGAGACCATGGCACCATAACCACTACTGTGGAAGGTTTGGCTGCCTCTTTAATATGCATTTTAAAGAAATCAGAGCATCACGTGAAAAAAAAATAAAGATAAACCTAAGTATTGTTTGATTTATTTTATGTTTTTTTTCTCAATGATTTAATATCCAGACAAGTGACATTTCTTCTTTAAGTGTTTGTGAACCATCACTCCTGTCTCAGGCTAAGTAGGCAAGTTGGATTCACTCTTGGGATAAATAAATATACATAATATAGGAAAATGTTGTTTAGGGATGATAGTCAATGTGCACTCAATTTAAAGTAACCGAATGGCCATATTACAGTGTATGTATGCATAATTGTAGAGGCAAGCACTCACATTAAGGTAAGGTAGTACATATAGAAAAGGCTATCATCTCCACCATGTTTTTAGGGACAAAAACCATTTTCATAATTTTTATGAAATCGCATGAAAAGAGTTGCCATGCAGTACTTAAAAAGCATATTCTGCAGGATTCTTCATTGCCTAATTGCTTTTTTTTATACACCTTCTGAATGCTACATACTACAGGGCAACCATTTTCATGTGCTGCCCATCAATATGTATACGTGATTATGGGTCCCTGGAAATATGTTGCCTATGGTAACTCTCTATATCAGGCATAGGCAACCTTTGGCAGTCTAAATGTTTTGGACTACACCTGCCAGCATTATGGGGGAATGTAGTCTACAACATCTGGAGTGCCGAAGGCTGCCTATCCCTGGTCTATTTACATGCATATTCCAAAACGGCTTGCACTCATGGGGATCCATTAAATCCATTGCCCAGTCCTAGTAACCAGCTGTTTTCACACAAAAATTTTCCCCAAAATGTTCAGCAATCCTGGGACTTATCACCAAAAACGTACCTTCTAACAAGATCAACGTTTCAGTTTAAAATCATAAAATTTCATCAGGACAGTTAAGATTACGGTGATAAGTCCCAGGAGTGCTCACTGTTTTTTGGAATAAATGATATATATATATATATATGTTTGGCTTTGAGACTCTGTGTCTTCTAAGAATGTTTAGATCCACCCACTCCCTCGCCAAGTATTCTTTTATTTTGAGGTGTTTCCATCCACTTTGCAATGTAAGGGTGTGCACTTCTGTGATTAATTCATTTTTAATATAGTTGAATGCTCCCATTAATTTCTCTCTAGTAGCAGAGCAACCAAGAGACCAACTCTATGGTAACAAAACAGTTTATCCTTGGGGTTATCACATCTGCCATGTTTTCAAGGACACTATCATTTTGTCAAATTTATGAAAACACATGAAAATGGTTTGCCCTGCAGAATGTATAATACATATTCTGCAGGAATCATAATTGCCCAATTACTTAATCTTATATACCTTCTTGTGAATTCTACATACTGCAGGGCAACCCTTTTCATGTGTTACCCATCAGTATGTATATGTGATATGTGTCCCTGAAAACATTGTGGATGTGATCACCCTATTTATTCTACCATGCTCTGCCATAAGCTACCCATTTTTTTTGCTGTTACCACCACTATTTTAAGAAACCTTGCTTCCTTCTTGCTAATGTTAGGTGAAGTAGGGAAGATTGGAGGTTCTGACCTTTCATTGTTCCAATTGCAGCCCAGTAGTAAGTATTGGGCATATCCATCTCTGCTTCAAAGGGAAGCTTAAAATGTCCCCAAGCACAGAGGTATTTTTTAAATTCGCTGCTGACCTAGTGGTCCAGGATGAAGACATTCTAGAGCAGGGGTGATCACAAGATAGATCCCTAGATGTTTTAAAAACTACAACATCAGGGATCTACCTTTTGGGCACCCCTGTCCTAAAAGACTATCCTTGAAGGTTCATCAGGCTAATATATAAGAACAATTTTAAGGACTCTAGTGGGCTAAATAAATTACCTTTCCTTGTGAGTGCTTGTATGTTTTAAAGCCATACATTTTGCAGGTGTCCATGTATACATACACACATTACGTTTAAATGGAATCTGGTCACTTTAAGTCTGAGCATAACAAACTAGACGGCTTGCTGAATGTTCTTAAATACAAGTACCTCCTTATCCTGGTCTAGAAACGAGTTTCGCACTGGGATAAATTGCTGTGCCGTGTGGCACGCGGAAAACTTTAGGCGTGGTCTATATGCCTCTATTGAAAATAATAGGATCTTTTATCATTATTCTTTACTTTGTTCTTCAGAATATATATATATATATATAGATAGATAGATAAAATTTCTATAAATTAGTGCATTGAATTGCCACAGCCCTCCAGCAAGTCATGTAAGTTTATTTAATATTTCTGTTTATTTGTTGAGAGATTAAACTGTGTTGACGGTGTAAATTAAAGTGTCCCGCACATGCTGAACTCACTTGCGTCTGTTGACCCACTATCACAACATGAGGATCTGACGCAAAACCCCTTGCTTTCACTTTGTAGCACTTCAAGGGTTAACAGACAGGGTTCAGTGAAACAGCTATGCAAGTGGCGTTAGACTGCAATGGGTTAAAAAAAAATCAAAAATACATTTAAATTTCCATGTATCCTTCCAGGCGAGCCGCTCACATACTTGAGGGTTAGACGTTTTGATGAAAGACCTTTCAGGATTAACTAACTGTTAGTGCTGTCATAGTAAAAAAGTAATTTTAAGAAGCCCTAGTCCTGGAAGAGTTAAAATAAATGTTACCATCATTTTTAAAATGCCTATAGAAAGACTGCAAGTTTTATTTAGAAATTTGATGATAGAACTGAAATAAATTAAAGTTTTTAGTGAAGATAATTGTCATGAAGCATCGTGTGCTAAAGGGACGCTTTAAGAACCACAACCACTACAGCTACAGTTGTGTTTATGGTGTCAGCATGTGCTGTCCCCTAGTTGTGTGTTAGATTATGAGCGTTTTGACACAGACCAAAGGCCCCTAATAATCCATGGCCCTCACTCCTTCCACTTCTGCTTTAGCAATATAGGTTTTGACAGAATTTGAACGTCATGTGAAAGGTGATAGTGTCATCTGATGTGCTTAGCCAAAGAGCGTCGTCCAAATACGAGCAGAATTTATATTGCTACTTTGGAGGTGTAACTTCAACTTCCACATTCGCTCTATGCAGAGCACTATGGTGCTTGAAGTATCTAGTTAGGTTTTCATGATTTTATCACCGGGTGATTGTTGAACAACCAATAAGATGACAACCACATTGCATCCCCCAAACATCTCCCATCATGGCTGAATTTCAAGATCAGTTGTTTTGATATAAATTTGGTTGTCAACTTGTCAGCACACACAGCAGGGGAATAATCCCGCTGTGTGAATTATATATGCGGCAAAGTTCCTTGAATACGTCCAGTGTCTTTATTGGATGTTCTAGGTCAGTGTTTGTAAAGGGCGATATAACTCCATGTAGTGGTTATGCTGCCAAGATTCCATGGGTGCTGTCACATGTATTCTGTAAAAACAATTAGAAGAGGTTTGACAAAAACTATGACTTTCCCCAGAACTCACAGACTGCCCTGTCTTCAGCCAAACTGAAAAAGGCACAATTTACACTTCTGCATAATCAATATTACTTATGTCCAACTTTAATGTCATAGATAAGCTTAGAGCACTTTGCTAAACTACCCCCAGCCCTCTTGGCCTATCATTGCCATCTGGGTTTGATGAAATATATATTGGTAAGTGTAAATTCTGCATTATCAAGAAGTCTAAAGAAGGGGTTGTCTCTGGTTTATATTTAGAGACCCAGTTTTTTTTGTCAAACCGCTCCTAACCAAGAGACCGTATCCAGAGAATCTTGATAGGATTATGACAACACTGAGCTGTAGCGAATATGTTGTGTAGAGTGTCCCTTTAATTCTTCTCAGGACCTATCAACAGGGTAGACGCGTGTCATATTCCTGTTTTAGCATACATGAGTAAATCCGGAACTCAGTCCTATTTTCAGAGGGAGACATGCATTAGCTGGGAATAGCTAAAATTCAGAGTACTAAATCCACAGAACAGTCATTTTCTATTAGATTTCAATCTGAAATGTGCTTATCAGTATCAGCATAGAAATACCAGGCTATGTAATGACATCCTCCACCTCTCGGTTAGTGTAGGGGTTAGTGAATTCAGGCCCAAGGTGTTTCTGAAATCTAGCATTGCCTGATTCCCGTCCCACACAAGGAATGTCTAAATCCTGGACTGATGGTGTGGCTTCACAACTGGAATGGAACCATTGCCCTAGAGGAATTTTGTATGTTAACATAATTTATTAACTTAATCTGGAGCAGGAAACTAGTGATTTATTAAAGGACCACTAAAGGTACACAAATCACTTCATCTCAATGAAGTGGTGTGGATGCAGTCGCTCTTTAGTTTTAGCTCTGCAATCTAAAATATTGTCATTTAGTAGAAACAGAAATGTTTTGATTGTAGTGCTAAACATACCTTTAGTGACTGTCTTCCTGACATCCACTAGAGGCACTGGCCTCAGAGTTTCAATGCTTCCCTGTGAGAACATTTGATTGGACACATTCTATGCACACACACAACTTGTCCCCAATGCTTCTCTATGCGGAACATTGAATTGGACGATCATCATGGAAGCCATGCTTGCAGGGAGGAGGGCCCTGCCACAGCACTAAGTAGGTCTCGAAGCTGGGAATAAAAGGGGGGAATTAAAGGCACACCAAAAACATGCATTTTTCAGCAGTGTTGCCATAGAGACCAAAACGTATACAAAATGAGGATTCAGGAACACAACACACACAAAAGTACAGTTTCACGTTTTCCCAGGCTACTTAATATCTCTTATCCCATACGGCCATATCGTGTTAATCCCACCACTACGTCACAGTACCTGAATAACGGTTTGTCCTACAGTGCTAAATGTGCTGAAGTGTATTTAATCTGTTGTAAGAGTATTGTGAATATACATTGCCCTCCACTAATATTGGCACCCTTGAAATGAGGCTGTGAAATTTTGTGTTTATTGTTTAACTTTTTGATCTTTTGTTAAAAACCTTATGCCGCACATCCTTTTTCTTACCCGTTGTGATAAATGACTAAAGGGAATTTGGCCTATCTGTTACCGCATATTTATACCCCTTTGAAACAGGAAGTCATGGTTGAACAATTTTCGGTTCCTAGTCACCTAGGAGTACTAAAAAGTTCAAAATAATGTATTTATTATCACAAAACTTAAACGATAAATGAAAAAAAAAATATATATATATATATATATATATATCGATATACTTAAAGTATATTTTTCTCGTAGGAACTCGTATGGGTACCAATAATTTTGCCACACATTAATTTAACACTTTTTTTTTTTAATTTAAAACTGGGTTGTGTTAGCAATTGTTTGATATCCATGGGAGTAGAGTATGATAATATTTATTCACTGCCTTTTTTGCTCATATCTACCAAGGATGCCAATCCTAGTGGTGGGCACTGTATAGAACGCAAAAAGAATATGATTCAAAAACAAAAAAAATAATTTAAAAAAATACAGTGTCAGAACTAAAAACTATGCCTGCGAAGTAGTGGTGGGCTTAACTCGATATGGCCATATGGTGGAACTGAATCCCCCATGTTTGTTTGCTGAGATAGATCATTTTACGTTGCCTTGTAAAATGTAAAACTGTATTTTTGTGTGCGCGTGTTCCTTAATCTGAAAAACGGGAATAAGTAAAACCTTTTTTTTTTTTTACAGGTCAAAAGGCAGAGTCCTGAATCTAAATAGATATAAATATATGTTTCTTTAACATCATCAATGCCTAATGAACTATGTTAACATACAAAATAGAATCAATTGGTCCACCATGCTAGATATACCAGCCGAGAGCCAGGCATAGGCAACCTTCGGCATTCCAGATGTTTTGCACTACACCTCCCATGATTCTTTGCCAGTATTATGGGTGTAAGAGCATTATGGGGGATGTAGTCCACAACATCTGGAGTGCCAAGGTTGCCTATCCCTGGGCCATAGCCAAAGATAAAATGCCATTTACCAATTAACTTAACCTGTGCAACTTGGAAGAACTCCCTAATGCTAAATGCATTTGGTATTCTCTTTTGTTAGACAGGGACCCAAATTACATTGAGTCATAAAGCAATTAGCTTGGTGTCCTATTTTTGAAATGTAAAATAACTTCAGTGACCTATTTTTCTATTGTTATATAACAGATAACAAAATTAATTCTGTAAAACACCTTGCACTTCCCAGTTCCCGCCTTGCAGTGGGGAAAGCAATGCTAATAAAGTGACTACTTTATTATGGGCAGTTATCTGGGGCATAATCAGCAAACTACCTGTTCAGTCTACAGTAGATAGCCAAATAATAGCAAGGGGACTCCAGTTTGGGTCCCAACCAAGGAATTTAGAACCACGGTTTTTAAAACCAACTTTGAGCCCCGTGTCCAATGTAGAGTGGGCTGATCTAACAAAGAAAGGCTTAAAGATGTAACAGATTTGCTGTTAGGGTGAGAGGGAAACTTTGCTAAACCTACCTAGCCCTTATAGGCTGCAGTCCTGGCCCCTTATCATGTGATTAAATATTTAGCCCATTGCAGAATTTGCCAGGTCACACACCTCCCATGCACCAGCATCTACCTACACAATACCTAGAGAGTATATGCAGAAGGCTTTAGTTCATCTTGAAACTATTCTCTCAATGTCACCGGTAATTCATGCACCTATGCTGATTCATCTGCAGGGAAAAATTAATTTTTTGATATTTTTTTGATCACTATGCTGTTAATCTCAGACACTGGGGCCTTTTTATTTTTGTTTAATTGAGGCTTGAACTACCACGATTATTTGCTGGGATCATTTATAGTCACATTGGGAATTAAATGCACCACAGTTCGCTCAGAACTCCAAAATGTTTTATATATATATATATATCTATATATTAGCATTGAGCACATAAATATTAACTAGCTATCATAATTTTGTTTTCCCCAGCTATCAGGTACAACAAACTTTTTTTTTTCTCCAATATGAGTGCTTATTTACTAATAATCCTTAGCACTTCCAGGCGCCCCTCTCCTTTGACCTTTAAAGGGACACTACGCCAATTATACCAACCTCCTTGCAATTAAGTTGTTATGGTGCCCGCAGTCATCCTTTAAAGTTCATGCTCACTTGAATTCATGTCATGCAAATTCTACTTTATCTGTGCCGTTATCCCAACCCAATGCGTTTTGATGTTTATGCGATCATATAGAACTTGCCCAGACCCAGTGGGTATGAAGTGCTAGTTTAAAATTGATATGGATGAATGTGTTACAGAGTCACAAAACGCCAGAGAAGTGGGGAGGAGGGTTACCAATCTAAAGTCTTTATGTATTTCCACCTACCTCTGTTAGTCCCAACCTCTAACATTCTACAACGGGTATCAGCTTGTTCCATTATCTGCCCAGTCTAGGGCTGTTTGGGTTACTCCTCTAGCTAGGATAACCTTTTTACCTTTCTATTCACCCCCTGGCCAACGATTTCCATCATAAATAAAAGTATTTTGGGTTTTCTTCTTCTGCACCTTAATATATGATAATTCTGTTGTTCCCATAGTCAAAATATGCCCCTTGACGTTTTCAGTATATCAAAGGAACAGCAGCCTGGACTTCTCATTCTAGGAGAGTGCAAATGGCCGCAAGGCCAGCCCTTTTCTCAATCCACTCTCAGTTCATGTTGGAAATGAAATGAATTGCAACGGTCTATGCCAATGCCAGCAAATTTGGTTTAAGTATTACTTACAAACTTTGGTACTACACCCCAAACTCCAAACAGATTGCCTCCTTAATCTTTAGGCTGATTTCTTTAGCCCCAGGCACGTACATCAGGTATAGGATTTCTGCTGAGTAATCCATTTTTACATTATAAGTGAGGCAACTAGTGCTTACTTCTGACTTTAAATATTCTGCCTTTGTTGTGTTTTATATGATATATACACAGATTAGGAGATTGCCCTAAATTATCTTTAAATCCAGCAATCCTGGGTTTGTATCTAATATAGTGTGCCGTCTTTACTACGAAAGATTAGGAATTTTATTCTTACATAGGGAGACCTATTGATTAGAATATCAGGGAGTGGCTCAGACAATGCTAGGTTTACACTTTTAATTTTGTAGGACAGGGCTGTCCAACGATCATTACCACAAGCCACATGCATAACCTCTTCGGTTTTGTGTGGACATCAATCTTCCATATCTCATTTAACATGTTGTCTTCTTCTTTTTTCCAAAAGGGTCTGGCCTACCAGCACGTTAGTCTAATGAGTATACGACCCAATCCATAAATACAGTTGGACAGCACTGCCTTATATTTTTAATAATGTTTGCCTTTTTGTTTGTTTGATTTTCTTTTTAAATTAGGGAATATCTCTGAGCCTAAGGCATCAGTAACCAAGGGTTGAAGGTAAACCTTGAGATAGGCATCTCTTAATTGTTCGTAACATGGGGTGGATGCGCTGTGGACGCCTTTTGCAAATGTATCTATGCTTTGATGTTATTAAAAAAAAATAAAAAAGTGGGGGTTAGCTGTTGTCTAGTATTGTCTGTGTCAACGTATATTTTCAGGGACTTCCCCCCAAATCCCCTCTCTTCCCCCTTTTTTCTCCGTTCTCCCCTATTCTCTAAAAAAAAACAAAAAATAATAATGCCTGTCTATTTTTTTACTGTAATCTTTATATGCAGAGAGCCTATAAATGCTGTATTAAGAATAAGGAAATGCCATGCTAACGTTTTAAGGTTTTTAATGTCTTCTTTCTGTCCCCTGCCCTCCTCTATAGTGTTGCGCTACGGAAAATCTCTTGAATTTAACTATTTTCTGATATAAGAGAGAGTCAGCCCTTGCCCTTAGGATAAAGTAAGAGAATGTTAACTATTACATTGCCAAAGATCTGGTTGGCCTGAACTTGTGGCACTGAAATGGTTAAATTGGGGTGCAGAGGGCGTGTAAGCTCAGGAATTTTGGTTTGCGTTTACCCCATCTGTATTGGCAGGGCTGACTTCTCCCACGCCTTTGTTTTCAGTTTTCCTTCAGTAAAATAGGCTAAGTTATTAATATTGAACGTCATATACACACACAACTTACCTCAGAACAGTGACAGGAGGGGGAAATGTGAGTTGCGTGGGGGGCATGTGGATCCCACCATTCTCTACACCCTCCTGTTAGTTACCCTCCAAAATCCCCCTCCCCCTGAAACCTTGAGTTGTACCCTATTTTCTAGATATTCCTCTCCTCACCTGTTTTTTATTTTATTTTTATTTTTTTTTATTTTTTTTATTATTATTGTTTTTTTTATGGTCCCGTTTTTCGAGGGCCAAGTGTCCTTTCCACCAATAAATTGTAAGCTTTGTAATTACGTGTTGCAATGCATTCTGAGTCTTGTCATTCTTATTCTCTAATGTTGTTTTTTTTATTTCTACAGAGGACTGGGAGGTTTGATAATGGGGGACATATTAATGCTATATCAGCCAAAGTGTCTGACCTCTTCTTGGTACTTTCTCTTTACTTCGTCCATTTCTGACCTTTTCCTGTTACCATTTCTCGCACACAAGCAATCAGTCTCAATTTTAGTTTTCAAATTACCTTTATCTGTTTATTTTGCTTCCTTTAAAATTCTCCGTATTTAGGCTTTTTTATCTTGTTCTTTCCACTTCCAACTATATTCATGCAGTCTCTCATTTGAACTCCACCTTAATCATATTTTCATATTTTTCCTGATTTAACCCTCATTATACCACTCCTATTACTCCATATAACCTCTCTCTATAACTCCTCCTATTACTCAATATAACCTCTCCCCATAACTCCTCTTATTACTCCATATAACGTCTCCCTATAACTCCTCCTATTACTCCATGTATCCTCTCTCTATAACTCTATATATAATGTTCTATGGTGTGCAGTTTCTTTGAGCACCAATGAAATGTCCCCAATAAGCATAAGTTGAGTGTATCATTAAAAGCACTCCCACATTTCAGGAGAGCTCTACTCAGGGTCAGGTGTCAGAAGGGTTGGCCAACACAGCTAACTGTTAGGCTGGCATGGATGCACACCCAACTCCTGTTCCCACTTTTGAGTGAGTGTTTTAGAACATTTTCCTTTGTGTTTTTGCAAACAACAAAGAGAATCGATGATCTCCTGATGATTCCGATGTACTAGAGGAGACTCATGATTGCTCTTATATTACAGTAGGTCCTACTAGACAAGCCTTAAAGGTCACTAGCCACTGCAAGCCCAGATGGACCATGGCACATTCACCAAAGGGGAATTTCTACTCACCAAGTCTACATTTTCACTTGCCAATGGCGAGTGGCTGGTAGTCCAATAGTGGCTATTTCAAATAACTAAAACTAAATTGTAATTGCAGATTATAATGATTCAAATTTTAACATAATCCTGACCTTCCCGTCAATAATTGCCCCTTTAGAAAACTTAGACTCCTATAAGTAGGAATTGTTTTATCATTCTTACTAACATTTGATAGACTGGTAAAGAATCAGGGTAGTATCATATCTATCCAGCATCATGAGGATTGTTGGCCACGGTCTTGTAGATCACTTGCGGCTACGGGCCATGGCACCTCTGGTCATTAGTATTTTAAATCCAGGACATTGAGTAGGACAGGGGATTTGCTGAATCTCTATTTGAGGAAAGGGCAACTGGACATCCCCTAATCCTTTTATATAGGTATCCCCTTGGCCCATTATATATACATTTAGTGTTTCAGTACTCCAACAGTGAACTGTACTCTACAATGGTTAATTTAGTGATTATTAGATCGTTTGATTATTAGACTCTTGCCTAGCAAGAGTTTAAGACTTTCCAAACATTTATTTTTTTAACATTCTTTAAGAAATCTTGCGATGGTGAGCACAGACACATGGCTGATGACGATATTGCCATCTGTTTGGTAACATTTTACCATAAGCGTGACCTAACAAGCAGGGGAGGGCTGGCAGCCTTAGGCCTGGGGGGCAAAACCAGTCAAGTGGCCCATTGCACCACCAAATCAGTTCACCATCCATGCCCACCTTTTCCTGGTTTTATAACGGATATTGATGTTATGCTAATCAGTAGCTCTTTGCCATACTTGCTCCTTCACGGCTCTGACTTTAACAAGACACACAGGTTTTTTCCCCTCACATTTTATCCCGCATTATTGTCTTAGGCGGTATGATTTATTACCAAAACCACCAACTCAATTTCTTCTTGGGAGTTTTTATTTTGTTCCAAGAGATCTAACTCTCACCAGAAATTACTCATGTTAAGTCAAAAAAGGCAAACTAATTTTGTATCCATTTTCAATTGTACCCCAAAATTGATGAAAATTCTCATTGAATCCTGAAAGGCTACCAAATTTTTCCTTATTTTGCCCAATATAAACTATTCCCTCGAAGCATTCTTATATATCTTAAAGACTTATTTTTTTTTCTTTTCCATCTAGCCTTTTATAATGCCCCATCTTGATAATCCTTAAAGCACTATTATATTTTGTTCATCTGTTCGGAATCTCACCCTGAAACACCTTTTGTTCCATCTCTTTCCATAAAACTCTTTTCATTACTCTCCCCTCACAAACTTAAATTCTTTGCTTTTCTATTTCAAAAACCTTACTATCTGGAAGTATTTCAATGATGTAAAGGGTATCACTATCCATGGGTCATGATCGATAACCTGGTCATAGAAAACGCATTGGTTACCTAGAGTGGGAATTGGACAAGAGTGTCTAGCCAAATAGCATAACTGCATAAAAGTGCATTATGGAAACTTTACATAATTTTTCATGATGGTGAGAAGGGAAGGTGGCGATATTGTCAGCGACTGCAACAGAATAATTTACAGACGTAGTAAGAAACTTTAGCAGTAGGTATTTGTGAAATGAAAAACAATTTATATCTACAAAAAGAAAGAAAAGGAAAAAAATTATCATTTAGATGAGTAAAACATTGACATTAAAATGGAAGATAGTTTAATGCAGATAGTTTCAAATACTTTAAACTTTTTCAAGTGCAGCAGCTGCCTCCCAAATGCAGCCTATAACACATGTCATTCAAACATTGCTGATATACATGCCCCGTTCACTTGGGATCTAAGCTATTGAAAGCCTACATACTCTGTCTTTAGAGGGATATAGCTATTGATGGCCTAGCATTTCCGTCATCGGGGATCTATGACTATTGATGGTACACAATCTATATAATCTGGGGAATATAGTTATTGAAGCCCTATAATTAGAGGACTATAGCAATTAATGGCCTACAATCCATTTAATTGAGGATCTATACCTATTAGCAGACATGAGACAATAGCTACTGTTGGCCCACAATCCCTAAAATCGAAGATTTATAGCTATTAGTAGCCTATCAATTCTATCATCAGGGATTTTTAGCTATTGATGGTATACAGCTCGTCATCAGTGGAATATAATTGTTCATGGGGCATGACTCCTCTCATTAAGCTATACTTGTTTTAAAAGCGCTTGTCCTTAACACTGGTATTACATATTAAAATCCTTAAAAAAAAAATCAGGATTGACAGAGGTGTACAGCCATACAGCAGGCACTACTTGAGATAGGCTGGAAGTGACATAGACCACACAAACTGTGACACCATAAGGTAAGAAAGATCCAACATAATTTGTGTCTGGTCAAGTCATGCAAGAGGCACTCAGTAGTATTGGACAACAGCCAAAATTAAGTGGAGAAGTTAAAAGATAAGACATGTTTGTGGATTTTGGTTAGAGTTCTGGATCAAACTAACCAACAATGGTATGGGCTCTGAATTGCAGAGATTAAAAAAAACAAAAAACATGGTATGTGATACATGATATATTGGTGTCATTATTTTACTATATGCATTCTCCATTACACCCGACACATCACGTGCATGAGTAAAGTGTCAAGTCCACAGAAGTCCAAGTGTTAGCCTTCATAAAAGTAGATAGATGACTCTAGAGTCCATATCCGTGTGATGGGAGAGAGTAGGAATACAAAGAACATTATCCTGTAAGGAAAAACATCTGCCTCTATAGCCAGGTAAGAGAGATGACCATGTGTTTTACGTTTTGTGTATCTTTTTAATCATAGACACAGTTTGAAGTCAATGTAAGAGATTTTCTGGCATCATAGCAGACTCCTTTTTGTACAGTGATGATAAATCTTCCAAAAAAAGAATTTGCAAATGACCATAAATATAACACAAGATCCATGAGCCCTGAAATGCCCCGTGGCTTATATTCGCGATTACTGGCTGTTTCTATGCTCCATGTTAACCCATGGTAAGCAGCTGACGAGAATTTTGATGTCGTCCACGGAGATTAATAGGGGGTCACTAAAATCTACAACACCTGGTTTCTATTCTAGACAGTAAAACTTGCCACCTGGCGCTATCTGACTAAAAATTGCACCAGCGTTATCTAGGTGTAAAGAGGAAAAGACGTTAACAACTGCAAAATCTCAATAAATCCTAAAATAAATAATACATTTACTTTCTAATAAGTACACTTAAAATAACACTATATAGTTAGGAACACAAATAAGTTTTGACTGGGCCAGCACTGCCAGGGTTAAAAGGGTTATATTCTTAAAGTGAACATGTAATGAAAAAAATAATACTTACCTTAAATCACTCCCATGTACATTGAATACACCATATGTCATAAAGATACACTGCTACAGTCCATAATGAACGCTGCTGCCAGACTGATTTTCCTCTCTAGCCGGTTCTCTCACACCTCACCCCTCTGCCAGTCCTTACATCGGCTTCCTGTATGCTATAGGAGTCAATTCAAGGTATTAATTCACACCTATAAAGCACTGAACAACTCTAGCCCCTCTTATATCTCCACACAGATCCATAGGCATGTCCCTTCTCTATCTCTCCGCTCTGCCCGTGACCACCGCCTGTCCGTTGTCCGCACCCGTACGGCCAACTCACGCTTGCAGGACTTCTTGCAGACGGCTCCCTTCCTATGGAATAGCCTGCCTACCGCCATCAGACTCTCCCCTAGTCTTGCATCTTTTAAGAAGTGCCTTAAAACCCATCTCTTTAGGAAAGCTTATGGCCTCCAAGACTAACCTCACATACCTGTCTCTTGCTCTCTCCTAAAGGGCAGCCCACCTTATTTGACTGCAAATTCCTGTCCTAATGTGTTTTATACCCCACCTCCTATAGACTGTAAGCTAGTTTGAGCTACGGAATCTGTTGGCGCTATATAAATGGCAATAATAATAATAATCAGACTCTCCCCTAGTCTTGATACCAAAAAACAGAATATGCGGCTAAGTGAATCTAGAAAAGGAACACAGAAAGAAACATAGTGTGATACAGTATGCACAATAAATCTATATAAGAATGCACTCACAAGATGA